TAGGAGAAGGATTTAAAGTCTCGTACCAAGTTTTACTTTGAGACGAAAAGAAGAGCTCAATTTTTGAGGAAGTCAGGAAGGAGCGTCGTCGCGCACTGTTGTGGTGGCCTCATGGTCTGCGCTCGCCGGCCGGCCCCGGGTTCGATCCCCGGCGTTGGTCACGAAAAGAGCCGGGGGCAACTCACGCCAAACCGATGGCTCGAAGGATACAATTTTCCCCTCCGAGTGTTATGAAGTTGTTTGTGCGTCGGTGTGGACTTAACGCGGCGCCGCGCCAATAGATTTTCCACGCCTCGGCCCGCCGCGGTTGCATGGCTCGGCTTGCTTGCCCCGCGTGCCCCCGGCTGCCCTTTTCGGCGCCGAGGGGCCACTACACTGCACTAGGGCCGTGCACCAATCACGTAACGCATCTTGACCCCTAACCCAGCCATGTGCCATGCCGGGCCATGCCGGGCCGTGCGTAGGGACGCCCCCCTCCCCCCTCCCCTCCCCGAATTGGTGGCACGGTTCATGAAAGGCCGCGGCCGGCGCTGCGGGCTGCAGGCAGGTCGCTCTGTCTCTCTCGCACTCATGGGGCGGCCCGCAGGGGTGCGAGGGAGTCGGAGCAACGAAAGCACTGTTCGGAGTCAGCTGGGCTGGTGGGCGAACGCGGCGAACGCACAGCCTCAGATTGGCCCGGCCAGATAGGTCGATTGAATTGATCCATTGACATGCTGAGGGTCTTGGCGGTCCTGAGGCTTCAGGAAGGGCCGCGGCGCCGCACCGACGCTCGCGTGCATCTGTTTGTGGCTCCGCCTGTGTGTGTGTGTGTGTGTGTGTTGTGTTTGACGTGCAGACAGCCAACACGACAGCGTGAATTCCGTGGGATGATCAGGTGTTTTCTGTTGCTTCCCGACGCGGCGGCAGCGCGGCACAGTGATGGGGTCCAGGCGGCCAGGCGGCGAGGCGGCAGGTGGAGGAAGTGGTCCACCCATCAGTGACGCAATGAGACATCCTTTTAACAACGCCTCAGCGATTTGCACACGCCGTGTGAGTGTGTATGTGTGTGCTTGGAGGTTCTCCGCCGAATGTTACGAAGTTTATGGACGGCGCCTAACGACCGACAACGGCCTGTGCGGTCCGGGGCCTGCGCGGCCTCTGCACGGCCTCACCACGGCCTCCGCCAGGGCTGGGGCTGGGCTCCGTACGCCTGATTGATGCCAATAGCCCCGAATCGCAGCGCGCAGCGCCCTACCGACCTGTCGACCTGCAGCGGCGCCGAGGCCGAGGCGGCCTCGGCCAGCAGCACGCGCACGGCCTCGGCCAGGGCACCGCAGCACGACGGCCGAGGGTGGCGGCGGCGGGGCACATACATCGTGCACACACACATACGCGCTCACACACAGCATCTCCACCTTGAGATGTCACCCAGCTCGACTGGCACATCAAGCCGCGGTCTCTGCTGGCACAGATTGGGGAAGGGGGGGGGATCGTTCATTATTTGCAGTGGCCGCGATATGGGCACTCTTATGAGCGGGCAGGCGGAGGGATTCCGAACACGCTTTCGTCGGTCTGTCTCTCTCGCACGGGTCACCCCGAGAGTGCGGGAGAGAGAGGGAGAGAGACCGCGGAGTGAGTCTGCAGCCGTGCAAACAGCGCGGGTCGCTACGGACATGTCGCCTGCCAATAGGTTGTCGCAAGCACAGCGCCGCACTGTGCGCGGAGCGGCCGCCGCCGCGGGCAGGCTCGGCAGGCTGGGGCGCTGGGGCCTCGGGACTCGGGGAGTGGGCCGCGGACGCGGACGCCACGCCGCGGAGGAACTAGAGAGAGATGGCGAGCTGAGCTGAGCGGAGCGGAGCGCTTGTTTGACTCCGCCCGTTCCCACGGTCTGGCTGCGCCAGGCTGCGCGCTGCGCTCTGCGCGGGCATGCGCGGGCCGCCGCGCCGTGCCACGCCGCCTCTACACTTCGCCCCCCCCCTCCCCCTCCTCTTCGCCTTGCTTCGCATCTGCCTCCGCGGCCGCTAGAAATTCGACTTGCCGCCCCTGTCCGCGATGGTGATCCTCGACGCCGTCCTGCCGGTCCTGCCGGTGCGAGGCCGGGGGGAAGTCCCTCGCGACCCCGCCGCCCTCGTCCTCGACCTCCACACTGTGCCCCCTCGCCGTGTGCGGCGGCGTGTCTACGAGACGCTGTCTAGTCTAGCCTAGGCACTGTCTGGTCTAGGGTTGCCGCTAGAGAGATAGCCATCACAGCCAAGGCCGCGTCTCTAGTGGCATCGTAACGCCGAGGTACCTGGCTAGTGGGTACTGGGTACGGTACCCGCTTCGTAGCGCTGAGTAAGCCGAGCCGAGCCGAGCCGAGCGGACCGCGAAAATGTTTGCTTTGACGCCCGCACCCGGCGGGCCGAGGCAGGGGCAGGCAGGGGCAGGCCGGCCAGCCTGGGACGCGGCCCTCGAACTGGACGGAGCTCTAGTGCGGCTTGAGCGCCGCGAACGCGCAAACACACAGAGTGCGGAAAGCGAGGGCGAGGCAACAAAAGCGTCCTCTAAAACGGGAGGGAGCAGCGCAGCGCGTTCCTTGTAAGGCCTTGGGCGGCTGGGCTGTGTTCCGGGCCTCCCACAAGCTCGCCATCGCCATGGTGTTCGAGGCGTGATGCTCTGGTCCTTCCCGAGCCGCATTTAATTTCGCCCGGCAAGTCTTTGTCCTGTCATGTCACTCACTGTTGGCCTAGGCCGCCAGGCCGTGCGGCCCGACCGCGCGCCGCGCCGTGCCGGCAGACGCTCAGACGCGCCGGGACGCCCTCGGATCGTACTGCACGTTCTTCCCGGTTTGTGTGACATTTGCTGCATTTTGCCTCCGCGCGTCTCAGCCGCACAGTCGCAGCCTGTGCCTCGCCCGGGGACCTCCTAGCGCTCCCAGCGCCCAGACGCCTGCCCCGTGTTTAGTTGAACGGAACGGTTGGTACCCAATATCTGCGGGGCGGGGCCGGGCGGGGCGGGGTGGGGCGCGTGGTCGCCGCACCGCAAGGGCGCCAGGGGTTACTGGCGGCACCCAGCTGGCTCGCTTTGTGGAGCTGCCAACACCGCGAGCCGCTCAGCCACACGCCGCCCCGCCCCGCCTCGCCCCACTCCACCCCACCCCACCCCGGCCAGGCGTTTCTGCAGAGCAGCGTCCACCCTGGCGCAGCAGTTTGAGGACAAATAGTGGGCGCGTTGCACTGGTCCCTGGTCCCTGGGTTGCAGCGGGTTGCACCACACCGGCGGGCGGACGGGCGGGGGCTTGGCGCTCGGACAGACAGGCCGGCAGACGGCGCAGCTTTAATCGTAGTTCCGGCTATGGGCAAGATGCAATAAAAAGAAACACGGCTTCGGGCTTCCCGCGTATTTCGCGGGTGTAGCGCCACACGGCCACACTGTCCGTGGGAACGACACCGACGCGGCCGGACGCGGACACCTGCAGCGCGTGGCGCGTCGCGCAGGCGTCTGTCTCGCTCGCACTCGCACCCCGACGACGGGCCGCCCCGCGAGTGCGAGCGAGACAGAGCGACGGAGCCAAGTCGGCTCAGAATCGCGCTGAGCGTTGTGGTGCGCATCTTCTTCCTCCACACTGGTTGATATTGGCTGCAGTAAACAGTCCTTTCCACGGCGTTCGTAGCCGCACCGGCGTCTTCCGGCGTAATCTGTTCTAACCGAACGCAACGCAACGAGGCAACGGTGGAGAGTCAGAGCCAAGCATGCGCCCAATATATCAAAGACAACACGCGGCTCGTTGCGAACACTGTGCAACAGCATACCTACTCGCTGTTGAAAGCCCATCACACACACACACTCACACATACACACTCACCAGGGGGCAGCAATAGTGGCCATTTGCATAAGGCGTCCTTCCTTTTAAATCAGCGCTACTTATAAGAATGCACGATTTATTGCTCGCGCGCTCCCTTCGCAGGTAATAAAACAGAAAGCAATATAGCCGTCACATTATTACGTTCAAAAATTATGAACGGCCTTATAAAATATGTGTAGCGGTGAACTACAAAGTGTAGGCAGTGGGACAGGAAGTTAGAATTCTCATACTTTCTTTCGCCGAAGTTCCGAATTTTTCTCTTCCTGTTCCTCTTCCGGTGCACTGGCTGATAGTGACCTCCACAGATGTCCTCAGAGGAAGACAAAGGGAGGGAGCTTCTGGCTATGGTTTCCCTCTCCCTTTTTCTCATTATTTCCGCTTCGGGCTTCGTGAAAACACCCTGTGCCAAAAGTGGCGGCATGTCGCTGCTTTTCGAACGTGTTGATCTGCGGCGCGGTGTCGCCTGGCTGCTGGTGTGGAGGCGTGGCGTGGCGTGGCGTGTGTTTCCGGCAGCAGGGAGATGCTGGCCGTGGTCCCGGCCACCCCAGCCACCCCGCCGCCCGGCGGTAGGCCCGTACAGCCAGAGCCCGACACTGCTGGGGCCACCGCCGCCGTGCCGTGCCGTGCCGTGCCGCGCGCCGCCGTGGCACCGGGCCAGCAGATGGGTATTAATTGTGCCCGTCCTGCTTGTTGTGCGGCGGCACGGCGTGGCACGCCACGGCACGCCACGGCACGCCACGGCGCGGCCATGAAAAATGAAACGCGCTATCGGTGCGAATACATCAGGGGTGGTCGTCGGGCTGCCGCTTGCTGCCGCTTGCTGCCGCCCTCTCGCTCGCTGCCGATGGCGAATGGCCCACAACACGGTGGCATCGCGAGACGGATCTCGCAAACAACGGCGGCGGCTCGGCGGCTCGGCGGCTCGGCGTCGACACTAGAAGTGCCGCCGCCCAATGGCCCGCGCCCCGCGCCGCGCGGCGACTGGCGACTGGCGACATCGGCCCGGCCTGCAGCGCAGAGCGCCGAGAGGCCTCGAGGGCCATCTGGGCGCGCGGCTCACTGTTTATTGGCGGCGGAATGGCGCCGATCTATATCTGCCCGGCTAGATCCTGGGGTCCACCGAGTCCGGAGGACGGCTTTTTGGCAGAAACCTTGACGCACGTTCCTCATGTTGCAGGTCTCGCCGCTCGCCGCGGTCGTCGCTCGTCGCGACGTTCATGAAGAGGCGCCGCGCCGCGAAGGACTCGAGGGACTCGCGGGACGAGCGCCATTGGGCGCCATGCTGCGCAAGTCCGCCATGTACAACCTCAAGGTGTCCACGGCCCTGGCCAACGGGGGCGGCGCTCCCGGGGCCGGCGTCGGACTGCTGGCCGCCGACCCGCAGGGTGTCACGCCCAGGACGCCGGAGATCCTCAACTCGCTCATGGCCATGACCCACCCCCTGGACCCCGCCGCCAGCTCCGCCGCCCCCAACCCCAGCACCTCGGCGGCGGTCCCGGACCTCTGCTCGCCCTCCGCAGGTACGCATACGGCCACGGCGTGCTCTGGCGGTAAAATGGGAGCGTCAACGTTAACCAGTGGCGCCCCTGTCGACAGGTTCGTCCAGCTCCTCCGGCCTCATGTGCGGATCGCCCACGAGGTCGCCGCCGTCGCTGCAGCACACGCGCTCGCAGCTCATCAAGGAGGGCCTCAAGCTGACGCTGCAGACCAAGCGGCGGCACACGTCCGCCACGTCGGCCACCTCGGCGTCGGGGGCCTCGGTGTCCGGCGGGTCCGGCGATGAGGACGAGGACCTGTCGGGCGGCGGCAAGAGGCGGAAGCGCGACCAGGTGAGTGGTGCGGGGAAACGACCTCAGGACCCGAGACCCGAGGCGTCCATTGCATTGAAATAACGATGTACAGTTGTTTTTGGCGCGCGCTGCCGTCGTTGGTCGTTCGTGTTCGTTGACGGCGTGCTTTGTGTCCGCAGCTGACCCCCGAGGACGAGGAGCGGCGGCGGAGACGGCGAGAGCGGAACAAGGTGGCCGCCACCAAGTGCAGGATCAAGAAGCGAGAGCGGACGGTCAACTTGGTGCAGGTACGCACGCGGCACGCGGCACGCGCTGGGCCTGTTTCCAAAAGCAAGCTCGTAGACCCCTGCGGACTCCGCGATGCAGGCCCGTCGGACAGGGCTGCATCCGGGACTGCCTACCCTCGCCTCCGTAAGGGGCCATGGCGCCTGGAGGGCGGGCACTCCCGGAGGCAGCGCTGTTCCACGGGACTGCATCGCGGAGTCCGCAGGGGCCTCTTCGAGTTTCCAAAAGCGTCATTTCCCGTGTAACACGCCGCGTCCTCACACTGTGCGACGTGTTGCAGGAGTCTGAGATCCTGGAGAGCCAGAACTACGAGCTCAAGACGCAGATCCAGGAGCTGGAGACGCAGCGGCGGCGCCTGGTGGACATGCTGTCCTCCCACTCGCCGAACTGCACGCGGCCCGGACACGTGCATCAGCCGGCGCACCAGCCGGCGCACCAGCCGCCGCCCTACGACTTGTACAGCCCCAGCGCGACGTACTGCCCCTCGCCCAGCGCCGGGCCCAGCCTACCGGCCCCCGACCTGGGCCACCACCACCACCATCACCACCAGCAAGACCATCAGAGCCAGGTCCAGGACCACGGCGCGTACGGGGACGTCCTCATGGGGCAGTACATGCCGCAGCCCGAGGACGACCACCTGCCACCCTACTTCGCCGTCACCAAGCACGAGGTGGTGGACGACCCGCTGCTGGCGGCGCTGGAGGACCCCCTGGACATGTACGGCTACAGCCAGCCGCTGGCGCACTACGACCGGCCCGGCAGCCTGGCGCTCGACACCCCCGTGTCCACCCCCGGCTCCACGGCCGGCAGCCTGGACAGCCCCCACCACGCCTCCCTGCACCAGGCCGTGCCGCTGCCCGGGCCCAGCCACCACTACCCGCACATGTCGAGCACCCCGCTGACGCCGCTGCCGCTCGGCCCGGACGGCGTCAGCGTGTTCGGCATGGACAGTGGCTGCATGGCGTAGTGGCGCCCCGCCGCCCCGCCGGCCGAGGGCTGCGGAGCATCGGACTCTTTAGACACCCCCAGCCCTCGGCCGCCCCCTCCCCGCCACTTCCTGGACGAGTTACCTGATGGACGTGCCGGTCCTGTCGGCGTGTCGTGCCCGACGTGCCCGACGAACGGCAAAGTGATGTGATACTCTGTCAACGCTTTCCCTTCCCTCCGGCAGTGCTGCCCGCAGTGCTGGTTTTCATCGTTTTCTCCTCATTCGCCTCGTCGTGTAGCCTCCCCCATAACGCTATTTCATCGAGACTTCATCGCCATTTCTTCACTTCACTTTTTACGAGTGATCCCAAGTCACAAAATAATGAAACATAGTCATAGCGAAGTTTTGTGGTGCTAAGACGGAACCAATATTATTTTTGTTATTGTGTATAGTTGTTATGCAAAGAACAGAGACCGTTATATTTTTTACGTATCCAATTGTTTGTAAAATGTATTTGTTTTGTACGTAATATATTTTACCTAGGTTTTAGATAAGTTATTGTTACGGGGTTGAAATCCATGATTTCAGCGAAATTGTGATCTACTTATTCTAATCTGTCCTTGACAACATTGCTGATAATGTATTTGTGTTGGTATCCTTGCTGTGCAGATTCGCTGCATGCTCTTGGTGCAACGAGTCACTTTTTTTTTTGCGGACTCCTCAGCTGGACTGAACTGCCCGCGTCTCGCCACCCCTGCCCGTGACAGGCGTGCCAACTTGCCTTTGCCTCTCTCCTGGCTCAGGGCAGGCGAAACAAAACATACACCGTCCTTTGAAAAGTGCCTTAGTTATTATTTAAGACCGACTTGTTTCCTTCTTTCGGAACGCCTCTTACTTTCCACAATCTTGTGCATGACATTATCAATAATATTTTGTTTGATTTTTATTTTTGTTAATTAAGAATACGACGCGCTTTCTACTTATTGTTTAGTTTTTAGGGCAACTGTGACATGTTTAAGAGTATAATGTCTTCCACCGGTCAATGAAACAGGCGCATCGGTTGGACATGAAATTGTTGTCTTATCGAAGTTCAAACTGGTTTGAAAAACGTCCTGTGATTTTCAGTGAAGTGCCTTCCAGAAATTTTAGTTGTTAGAAAGACCGCTTATTTTGTGTCCACCCAGTGCTTCCCTATCCTCCCACACTGTACCTGTCACCATCGGAAATGGGACTCGATCCTGTTATTTGGTTGGAAATAAATCCACATTATTTCTTACATGATTTATTTATTGGAGTATGTTGTGCTGGAGCACTCCCCAATGACTCCTAACGCTATTTCGAGGACCATTTCGGCCCTAGAAGTCCCAAGTAGCAAGGAACTTGGATAGGAAAAAATTAACAGGCTGCCACAATTGCATTGAAAACTGTTGCTTTATTTCTACATTATTTACAAAAGGGGAAGACAAACGAAGCTTCCTTACAGCACATCGCTTGGCGGAGGTAGGCTGCCGATGCGTCGGCCACTATGCAGGCCCTTCCGGACCTTCCCACGGGTTCTCGGACTGCGCCAGCTCCTCTTGAAGCCAGTCTGGAATCTGCAGAGAATCACACAAAACCGTTCCGTCATCAGTTCCACGATACAGTGTGCCGCCATGCCATAATCGTACATAATCATAAAAGACATCATCGTACCGGTCCGAGCGAGTCGCACTCGCCGTCCTCGTCGTCGGGGTGGCCTGCGTCCGCGGCGGGGGCGATCTTGGAGATGCGGGCGAGCGGCGCGCACGTCGACACGTGCAGCAGCACGGAGCAGGGCAGCGCGAAGACCCCCGCCACGCCGAGACCCTCGCCGCGCTCCACCTGCTGCGGCGACGCGTACAGGCTGCGGACAACCGGGGCAACGAGTCAACGGGGCACTCTCAACATGTCTCATGTACTGTCAGTGAGTTGGGAATGCAATGCGCGGTTGAAGTGACACTCACGCCAGCAGCTCCCTGGGCGGCACGGCGTCGTCGTCCTGGCTGGCCTGGCCAGCGCCCACCTGCTTGCCGTCCGCCCAGCGGCCCCAGAAGTACACTACGTTGTCCTGGGAGGCCGCCACAGTGTAACTGGGACCGGCGCTCGCCATCTGCCACAGGTGCAGCTGGGTGAGGTTTGGTCCAGCGGCGCCACTCCGCTGTCTATCTCTCTCGCACTCATGTGGCGTCCCGCACGGGTGCGACAGAGACAGAGCGACGGCAGTGCGGCATCAGTCAACAAGGATGATTGATGGCGGATGCTCACGGCGAAGGTGTTCTCGGCGGGGATGGCGTGGCGCACGGCGTCCCCCAGAATGACCAGCCTGCCGGCCTCCGTGACCACGACGCTGTGGCGCTGCGACAGGTGCACGTCGCGCACCGGCTCCTTGTCACGCAGTCCCACCGCGCGGAACCGGAGCCACGGCCCGCGGCCCGCGCCGCCGAGCCAGCTCTGGAGCAGGAGAAGCGGACCGAGTTCTTGAAACCATCGCGAGGGCGTAACAAACTCGTGTGACGGTACCGGCAGGTTGGTGCGCAGCCCCTTGTGCGGCCAGGGGGTGAGCTTGCCGCTCGAGTTGTCCCCGGCCAGCAACAGCTCCCCGGCGGTGGACACGACGGCGGAGCAGTCCGGCCCCGCGTGCACGGAGCGCACCACCACGCCCTGGGGCAGCGGCACCGCCGTGGGCAGCAGCCTGCAAGCAGAGGACGGCCACCAGTCGCGGCGCGTTGGCGCGTCCCTTACGTAGTACTGGTGCACTGGCCCACTACTCACGCGTCCTGCTGGTGGCCGAGGCCCAGGCGGCCGTGCTGGCCGCGGCCCCACGCGTGCAGGCAGCCGTCGCCGCCCAGCGCCAGGACGTGCGCTGGCCCCGCGGCGAGCGCCACCACGTCGGCCGCCAGCAGCTTTTCTGCACAGAGAGAAGTCTGTCTCTCTCACACCCCACGCACGCCCCACGAGTGCGACAGAGACAGAGCGACCCCTCACCCACGAGGCGCGGCCGGACGCAGTGTGAGTAGTCGCCGTGGCCGAGGCAGCCCTCGGCGCCGTCGCCGCAGGTCAGCACCGCGCCAGAGTCCGACGCGAACACGCTGAAGCCGTCGCCCGCCGCCACCCGGGTGATGCCGAGGCCGGTGAGCGAGTCGAGGCACTGCGGCTGGTGCTGGGGCTTCCTCCACGACTCCAGCCCCGCGCTCAGGTCGGAGCACCCCGTCGGCGCGGCCCGCCAGTCCACCACGTCCCACGTGAACACCACTTGCTCTGCGACAGACGAAAGTGAGGGCCGAGCGCGGGGGAGCGGGGCGGGCCCATGGGTGCGCCGCTCTCCCCGCTACTCACCCTGCGTGAGCGCGACGCAGTGCGTGCGGCTCACAGCCAGCTCCCGGATGGACGCCCTGGCGGGCAGCGGCACGGGCGTGAGTGACACGAGGCAGCCCGACGCGCGCAGCTCCAGCACCACGCTCCTGCAAGCCGAGAAGAGCGTGGCAGCCGCGTGGCAGCTCCAGTGCCGGCCGCGGACCAGGACCACGACGATCCTCGCGCAACGCCTACCTGGCACACGGTCCCTGCGACCCGTCCAGCGAGTCCGCGTCCGAGGACAGGTTGGCGGCGGCCTGGAGCGGCGGCAGCAGCTGGTCCTCGATGACGTTGGCCGCGGGCCGCACCCCGGGCTCGGTCTGCAGCAGGGAGCTCAGCAGCCCCCGCGTGGCCGACGAGTACCTGGACGAGCACAGTGGAAATGCAGGGCGGCAGGCGACCCAACTCACGCAGGCGGCCGGGAAGGCCGGGAGTCGGGACGCACGACGCGACGCACCTCGAGGGCGGCGGCGGGTAGTCGGCGGCCACGATGCGGCGCACCAGGGCGGGCAGGCTGGGCGCCGAGAAGGCCCTGCGCAGCGCCAGCAGCTCGTACAGCACGCAGCCCAGCGCCCACACGTCGGACTTCTGGTCGTACTGCAGCCCCTCGCACTGGCAGAGCGGGCAGAGCAACCGGGTCAACCGGGTACGGTGACAGCTCGACTATCAAGCAGTTCACGACAGCGGGATGCTGGGCCTGGGCCTCACCATCTCGGGGCTGAGGTAGTACGGCGTGCCGAGCACGGTCTCGGCCTGGACCTGGGTGCCCATCACTTTGGAGATGCCGAAGTCGCCGACTTTGACGACGTTGTCCTTGGTCAGGAAGATGTTCTCGGTCTTGAGGTCCCGGTGCAGCACGTTGTGGGCGTGCATGTGGCGGATGGCGGAGGCCACCTGCGCGAAGAGGGCGAGGGCGCGTCGCTCGGACAGCGGCGCGTTGCGGGCGGTGCGGTTGGCCAGGAACTGCGCGAGCGTGCCGCCGCCCGCGAACTCCATCTCGAGCAGCAGGCAGCCGTCGCGCTCCCACGACCCCAAGTAGCGCACCACGTTGCGGTGCGACAGAAGTGCCAGCACGCGGGCCTCGTTGAGCGCGCGCACGCGCTCCGCGGCCGACAGCTCCAGCACGGGGACCTGCTTGATGACCACCAGCGAGCCCTCCGGCTCCTTGCGGTACAGCACCGCCGTGCCGAACGCGCCCTTGCCCACGGTGCGCACCTTGACGTAGCGCGTGCCGCCCGCGCCGCCGTCGCTGCGACAACAAGTCCGTGTGCGTGATGTGTGCTGCCAGCGTGGCAGTGTGGTGCGTTTCACCCTACTCACGCCTCCGGCTTCGGGTCATCCATGCTGTCGGCTGGCGGGGCGGGCGTTGCTGGCCGCGGCCGTGCAGGGCCCCCGGCAGGTAGTCCGCCACTGGCCCCGCCACTGGCCCCGCCAGTCGATGACGCCCACGCCGCGCCATGCCGTCGCGGCCCTCACCCCGCACCCCCGCGCCCCGGAGCGCGCGCCCCACCCCTGGATCCCCTGGATACGCGGCATGTTTTGACGGAAAGCGGCCGTAGCAACACGGACCCGCGGACGGCGCGGAGGGGTGTGCGGGGTGTGCGGGCCGCGGGGCACTGCGGCCGCTGCACTGCCTCGCGGAAGGAAGAGGGCGAAGGACGGTAGCATGCCGCCGCGCTGGCGTCGCCGTCCTCGGCGCGTGCTGCCCCCGCCCGAGCCCGAGCCCTGGGCCCCCAAGAGACCCAAGCGCAAGCCCAAGCGCAAGCGGCGCCGCGGAGTCAGGTTGGGCTCTCGCCTCTTTGGGTTCGCGCGCGGCGCACTGAGAGCGCTGGGGGAAGCAAAGGGCGGCGTGGAAAAGAAGGGTGGAAGGACCCGGGGAGAGGGGAGGGGTGTCTTTCTCCTGAGAGATCCGTTTGGCAGGTTGAGCCGCCACGGCAGCGTGAGCCCCTTCCTCAACTTCGTGAAGGCCTTGAAGGCGGGGAGCCGCCGCGGCGCTGGCCCTGGCGCCCTGGCCCGCATCAAGCTGCACGCCGCGCGTCTGTGGCGCCTCATGGGCGAGGACGAGCGGCAACCCTACGTGGACCAGGCCGATCGCGCGAGGGACGACCGCGATGACCAGCGTGACAAGCTGGTCGGTGGCAACCCTAGATCGAGGCCTGCGGCGCGACGCCGGCGCCCCGCAAGGCGGTAAAGGCGGGCCGCATCGTCAGGGAAGTACCACCCGTTGGACGAGTGGGCACCCTATCTAGAACAGGTGCGTCGCAACAAAGCCACTCGCCACCCCGTGGCTCGGCTGGGCTCGGCACAGGGTTGCCTGGTAACGTCCGCGGGTCCCGCCAGAACTCGATGGTGGACGAGGCAGCGGCACTGGTACTGGAACACTAACTACCTCGGAACGGGCACGGCCAGCACGGCCTAGGCCGCGGGCGGGGAACGGGGGTCGGCCAGGAACGGCGCGGATCAGACAGCAGTCGACATGGTTCGTCGGCAAGCCTCCAAGTCGCGTGGCCGGTCCAGGACTCGGCGTGCGCGCGCCGGCGTCAAGAAGGGCACCAAGTAAGTACAGCAGCCTCCGAAGCCTGAAGCGACAGCAACGACCCCTTCGACGCACCTCCACCTCGTCCTTCTCCCGCTGCAGGACCCGCGGAAACGCTGGCGCCTTCCTCAACTTCGTGCGCTCCATGCGGGACCTGTTCCCCAGCCACACCCCCGCCCGCCTCAAGCACGACTCGAAGGCCATTTGGCGTGAGATGGACGGCACGGACAAGAGCATGTACAACTCTTCTCGCCAAATGTGTGGGCAAGTTGCTGCGTGTGTGTACACCGTGCTCCGCGCAACGCGTGCCGCAGGCTAACTTGATTCGTTTGGCCGTGCTGGTTGCAGGCCAGGCATGATGCGTCGCCGCAGCCGCAGTCGCCGCGGCAGCCGGCGTCGGCGTCGTAGCCGCAGCCGCAGCCGGCGTCGTCGCAGTCGCAGCCGCAGCCGGCGTCGCCGCCCCGCCTAGGCCGCCTAGCCACCAAAACCCTGCCCCGCCCACGCCCCGTCACCCCTGCTAAAACTAAGCAAAAAATTTGGAAGTATCACAAAAAAATTTTTTTTGAAGGCTACCTAAATTTCTTTGGCAAATCCTGTCACTTTCGGAAGATTACTTAGAATGAAGTACTTTGATGATGATGAAGTTTGATTTGTGAAAAGAAAGAAAACATAATTCCTGAGATGTAAAAATTTTCAAGACCTCTAAGACGATATCAAGCTTGGATACCGATTTAATACCAAACAATGCAAAAATTTCTTTCAGCTTTTTATGTAGGCTGTTTTTTCCAAAAAGATTTTTTAACGCTAAATGATATTAAAATCTAGTGTCCCGAGCAATTGAAAGAGAGTTTTCATTTCACAACCCCAATGCCACTACACAAGTGCATATGACACAAACCCCCTGCTATGGATAGAAGGATGGGTGTAAAAGAATAAAAACTTGGTGCTGAAGCAAAAACACAACTTTATTCCATAGATGTTGAAAAATATGTTTCTGTACAGCATACTAGCGTTTTTTAAACAAGATGTTACCATTTTATCTTTTTCATTCTTATTCAAAAGGGCCTACTTGAATTTGGCCCCATTATGATTGGGTGTAGTAAAAGTCCTAGTAGCAGTTCGTAAGTCATATCAATAAAAAAGAAGTAACGTAGTTAAAGTGGTGTAGTTTTGTCCGAGATGTAATTGGAAATCCACATCTGAATATTAAACAGAAGTATGTGTTTGAACCTTTTAACTGCTCTTACATATTTAGAAGAAGTATTGGTATTATTTAAATGCTGTGTCTCAAGTAAAAGAAATAGTGAGAAATAACTATGTTAGTAGAAAAGGGCATATTTAACCTGCGACATACTGGTCAGTTGATTGACAAGGCAATCCTACAAAATGAAGACATACGTATAAGAAAATTTGATCAGTACATAATAGATTTTCTCAAGTTTCCTTTTATGAAAGGGACTGAACAGGACTCAAAAAAGAATGAAAATAAAACATGACTACATTTCCAAATGCTTCTTCTTTTGATGCACATATGTGAAATACATACATGAAAAACGCCAGAATAAATGATAACTTTTCCAATGTTAAAAGGGTTAATATGAAACTTTTTTTTTCCCAACAAAAGTTTAGGAAGTATAGTAACACTCCCTGCATGATATGGCTGCTAGCTGAGTTTTCATTGGAACCATTTTCAAAACTTATATAAAGCACAAATTGGAAAAATAGGTTGTCCAAAACTTTGATGGTCACAAGAGCATCAGGGCTGGGGCTAACTTTTAGCCACTTGTACTACAAAAATGGACACATGTAGAAAAGCTGATGTTTGTTTAAAATTCATCAATCTTCTATCACACTCTGAAACACATATATACACCCAGAGACATGAGGAATACAATTACAACAGTGGCGGAGAGCAGTTAAATGTTTTGTCAACAAATTTTGTCGAGGATATCTTATTCTGGGCACTTCATTTTAGGGTGAGTGAAATTCATTTGCAGATAAAATGAGAAGTTCACACAATCATTCCTCTCACTCAAGCACGCACACACTCATTCACACAGTCTCTCCCTGATTTGTAGCAATATACAAAATTTTTTGATTCTGTTGTGAAATGAACAAACAACATACAACTGTAATCATTAAAGGGCTTCTTTCTCACTCACAATAAATGATAATGTGTTTATAATAACAGTGGGAAGTCTTGAACCAAGTCAACAGGTATAATAACGATCCACATATTGTATGAAAAGGACCTTAAGGATAGAAAAGAATGGCATGAACCTACCCTTTGTATACAGTCACTCATCTCAATCTAACATAAGTAGTAAACAACATTTGGATCCACAAGTTTCATAAAAGATTTTTAACAAGAAAATGTTTATTTTAATGGCAAACCATGGAAAATAATAGCTAGTATCAGTTTTGGTGCAGCTGTGACACACAATTCATATCCGTGGCAAACCAAAGTTTCACAATTGGCTAAGAGTAAATAAAAAATAGCTTTCTTAGATCCCACAAAATTTGATTTCATATCACTCACTTCAACAATCAAAGAATAGCAGTATTGGCATGATAACTTTTGATAGGTATATAATAACAATAATAATAATGATGATAATAACAATAATCATAATAATAGGAAATATAGAAGTATCCAAGGAGGACGAATTGTTGTATCATAATAAATGCTTTGCTGCATGGCAGGAAAGGTTTACACAGTTATAAGGTACATAGTTTGCCACTAAAATAAAAACATGATGAACAAATTAGAACAGAAAAAATAATAAGTGAACAACATATGGTCAGTCAGGATTAACACTCCTCCTCTTTGGGATCATACAAATCTGTACAAATTTAGCGACCCCAAAACACAATCTGCTTCCTTCACTCTAGTCTACCCTACAGCAAACACCACATCTCCTCTTCTGTCTTCTTTTTTTGTTTAAGTTTTTCAAACACTCTTCATAAACTCTTGGTTGGCAGAACTGAGCACCAATAAGATTTTAATGTCACTTTTTTTAGTTTATAATATTTTCTGTCTTGCTATCATATCACAGTAAAATGTAAAACCTAAAGTAAAGAAACACAACAATAACTTAAGTTCATAAAGCCAGCTCTTGGTAATAAATTTACAGAGAATTGTGAATTTGCACGAAAAACTGTACACTTTATCAATTACGAGTCAAGACAAAGAAGGAAAGTTTTTCACACAACGCAGTAGAGAACAATAGTTTAAAAACTTGGCAGTAGATGCACTTGGCAATCTGGTAAGAAGTCTTTGGGGACACCCCGTACGGGTTGCGTGTCCCCGAGGCCCCACAGTCGGCACCGACACCCCGGGGGAGCGTGGCACTGTCACACGTGTCACAATGTGCGCTCGATTCCAGTATTAAAAAACAAGGGGACTTTATGTACAATTTTTTAATAAATAACAATAGGCGTAGGCAGGGAGAGGGCGAGGGGGGATGGGGCGGGGTGCCGAGTGGGGGCGGGGCGCTGGGCTAGCACCAGTCATCGTCATCTGAGTCCGAGTGCCGGCTGCGCTTGCGGTGGGGAGGCGGCTGTGCCTGCCCAGCCAGCCCAGCCTGCCCAGGCCCCTGGCCCGGCTTGTAGCCGTTGGGCACGGGGGAAGGCAGCAGTCGGCCCCCGCGCCCGATGGCGACGGCCTGCTCGAAGCTGAGCGGGCAGTACGCGGCCACCGAAGGGTCCCGCTGCGGCGGCTGCGGCAGCGGGTAGTGCGTCGGCGAGGCGTTGAGCTGCGGGAAGTTGATGGGCGCCGGGCGCAGCTGTAACGTCGACGGCTTGCTTGGGGTGGGCGGCAAGCGGCGGCCCTGGCCGCGCCGCGTCACCAGCACGGGGTAGCTATGCTGCTGCGGCCGCAGGGGGGCTCCCAGGCCACCCATGTGCCCCCCGTGGGGCCCAAAGCCAGCGTGGGGTGGCGGCAGAGCCCCTGACGGCGGCCTGGGTAGGTGATGGTGGTGGTGTTGTTGTGCTCCCGGCCCGTGCCCCAGGTGATGGTGGGCCCCGCCGCTCCCCCGTGCTCCCGCCCCCGCGCCCGGGCTGGGGGAGCGTGACCGCTGCTCCAGGCTCGTCGTCCCGTAGCGGTGGCCCATGCCGTGGCCCATGCCATGGCTCATGCCGTGGCCCATGCCATGGCCCATGCCGACGCCGTTGTACCGTGGGCTGGGGCTGGGGGAGCGCGCGGGGCTGGTGGACGCGGACCAGGAACCTGGCGGAGGAGAGCACAACACTGGGACCATCAGGCAGCATGTCACCCACACATACATACAAACACACACACAACACAACACACCCACACCAATCAACACAAGCAACTAATCCCAAAGTCAAGTTTTTATTACAACTGAAGCAGAAATTAGTGGTAACTTTTGTTAAGGTTACGGTAAATAAGACGATGGGACAAAAGTAGTCACACACATATCAACAAGCGATGTTAAAAATAACGAAAGTTCGCAATGCAATTGGGATCTTTCTGTAATTCAGTCTCCAAATATTCATTTAAAGCCATCTATTTAGACATAAAACCAAAATAAAGGGAAACATCTATAATGTATTCTCTGAGAGAAGCACATTGCAAATACTGACCTCTGGTTCTTGGGTGATGTCTTCTGTGCTCATGTTTGACAAAGTCAACAACATTGGATACTGTATCACTAAATCCTATTTCGTGGTGAGGATGCCGGTAGTGATGCCTGCCATGGGGCGAAGATGCCCGGCCTATCGGGGTGGGCGAGCGTCCACGATGCCTATACATGGCCACATGAACACAAACAAATTAGCGATGATCCACAGAGAAGGAAACCTGAGGCTGAGTTGAATGTGCTCCTACCTTAAACTAGGAGATCTAGACCTAGACCCTGTCCGATGAAGTCCATAGCTATCTGGATGTAGCCGCCGTTGGTCGACAAGGGATTCCTGTGACATCCGATGCTCGCTTGCTTCCGTTCCCTGCTGGCCACAAAAATCCAACGTCATTGCCCTGAAGATGTCAGATATGGAGTCTAAAGTGTTACAAAGATTCTCACATCACACTTGTGTCAACACAAAAGACTTATTCATATAAATGTTAAGCACAAATAATCCAATGCTAATTTTGTGGGTGAAAATCTTTTTTTCCTGCAAAATGGTTTGTGCAATAGGGTTGTGTTTTGAAGTCCGGATAAATCTAATGAGTCAAAAGAAATGATCTTGTATACCATTCACCTTACTGTAGTGCTGTGCTTTAGCTTTCATCTAATTCATGCCCTAAAGGCACTCAATATCTATAAGCTGTTTATCAGCCATATTCAAAATTTACTACATGATTGACTAGATGTTGTTGCTCGAGTTCCTAGATTACTATATTTTAGTCTAATGAGAAACCAATCTCAAGCTAGCTCTTAGTTTCATATGATGTGACTCTATCCTAAGTTTTGTTTTCATTTTGTTTCAGTCCGAGGAACCTCTTGAAACCTAATGTTAGTGCCTTACTGAATCACAAATTAAAGAATTTTCAACCAATTCCTTTTTTTTAACTTCTGAAATTGTTTGATATGCTATTTAAGCAAAGTTCAGTCTATTCTAACGTCTACAATAAATCTACATTACCAAAAACAAAAGAAAGAAAGAAAGAAAACTGAAGTGCAAAGTGACTGTGAGACATAACAGCCCACAAGGTGCAGTTCAAGTATCTGGCTGCCTGCAGAGATGCTGAAGACCACTTACACATAACTGATTTGATAGCAATGTATAAGATTTAATTAGAGGGAAGCAAACAGGTAAAAACTTTAGACTACCATTGCTGAGTTTGGCATAAATATTACCAAAGCTCAACATGAATTTATCATAAAGAAACTAAGGCATCATAAATTTCTGAAGTAGAAATAAATTACTTTAGAAACAGGGAAAATTTCTCTTCCAAAACTAGAAAATTTTCCAAGAAAGATATCTCACCAATATCAGAATACATGCTAAAATTGAAAAACGTGCAAAAGTTTGCGTGCATTAGGTATCAGAAGACAGAAAGAGACAAAGAGTACAGGTGGCCATGGTAGGAAAAGCTGTAAACCGATATTCTAACAAAAAGGCACTCATTTCTTGAGTGGCATCCTCGTTACAGCCTTAAAAAACAAAGTAGTTTTTTGAAATTCAATTGCAATTAAATTTTTCATACAAATATGTGAGTAACGCTTGTGTTATGGTTAAAGAGCAGAGTATGGGTCCAGTTCTGCTTCAACTATTTACAACAGGAACAATCCCAACCAACCCATGGATTGATGTAGAGAAATATAAAGGGATGCTAGGAGTAGACAGTAAAACTTAAGTACTCTGATTTTCAACCATAACAATACCTATGCCTCTAAACAGGAACAGGGTATACAAAACTAATTGGGTCTAAAATCGTTCACCCCTAAATATAACATTTAAATAAGTTTAAAGTCTATGAATGAACATTACTTTGGTGGTCTGAAGAGTTTTTAGTGTAAAACCTCTGGAACTACTAAAAACTCATGACAGGAAATTAACAATACATTGAAAAATAGTTAAGTCATGTCAGTCCACCATAGCATTACATGTGTTTGCTTCAAATATATTTCCTATTGATTACAAATCTAAACCTTATTTCATTATCATTTAAAAGTGTGTGTTTACTATACACCAGCTAAAACTATAGATCTTCATCTTCTACTCTAAAAGAAGATCACTTGGTTGGATGTACAACAAAGTTTAATTTTCAGATAATGAAAAGAGTATATAGAGATATCTTTTTCTAAACTACACATTCATTTGAACAGTCTATTCCCTGATTTACAAGATGAGAAAAGGGAAGAGGAGGGCATAAGTCCGTGGAGTTGATGCTCATAACAGGGCAACTTTTTGTCACGGTATTGCAGCGCATTAAGATGAAAAAGGGGATTGAACAGAACGGAAGATATGGTAAAAGAAGGACTATTTAGTATGATTAGTAGGTAACAAGACAGTTGTTGTCTGCTACTGACTTTCATAAAGAAAATTCTACATTTCATTAGAATGTATGCCTTAATAAAATATAACAATTAAATCTACTTGGTAGAGTCTAAATCTTTTGATTATAGTAGCAAATAATAGACACACACACACACACAACCAAATTTCATTTCTCTATACTTTTGTTCAAACTAAATATTTGCACTTCAGTATGTCACTACCTATTACCAAAGAATGTACGCTATTCTCATTGTGAGCAATGAAAAGTTGTTAGTATATAGACATGACGAGAGAGAAACCTTGCGGCAAGAGTTGTACCAGCTGGTTACCCTACTCCCTTTATCTTTAACCCACAATTTTTGATGTAGATTAAATCATTAGCATTAATAAAGATTTGTAATTTCAAACCAGTCATTGAGTCATGTCACCTTTTTGTTCCTGCAACAGAAACAAAAACAAACCAATTAGACAATTATAAAGACGTAACCCTTATAAAACAATGTTTCAATACTTGGTGGAATCAGTGAAAAAGTGCGGAGCGGATAAGTGAAGAAACAACACCTACAATAAAACAATAACCAGAAAGAACAAAGGCAAGCATTTCTACACAGAAATTTCAATGATAGTCAAAATCGCTCACTACATAAAGGAAAAGGAATAAAAACACATTTTCAAAACAAAAACAAAAGCAGCAACAGATAAAGAAATTGACAGGAAGCTGCAAGGAGCTATTATCTGCACAAAGGTGGAAACAAGCAACAAATATTTATTTAAAGATGCTGAAAAGTTCAGAAACAACAACAGCAAAAAAACAACTAAACAAGAGAACAAAACTACCAGCTGATCAGTAACTACTTCTCACCGGAAGCTCTTCTTGCGGGGTGTGGCTCTCCGACCCAAAAGACTTATTTCCTCAGCATTCATGCCCGTTGTTCCATTGTGATCCAAGGATCCGCTTCGGCTGTTTCCTGGCCAGCCATGGCCAGTGAGGTTGAGCCCCCGTGTCAGGTTAAACAACGTATTCCCTGGCTGAGTAGAAGGTGCATAATGGTGCAAATACAAATACCATACAAAGCACAATTACACATACTATAAGAAATAAATTTAAATTTCACATGATCATACAAGACTTATGTATTCTTTGAATTATTATTATTATTATTATTATTATTATTATTATTATTATTATTATTATTATTATTATTATTATTGTCATTATTGAAGAAAGATATCCTATCCAGAATAGATGAGCAGAAGAAACGGAACATGCATTGATTTTATTGAAAAATGATGCTCTACTTCGACGTCTGATACTAGTTTGCATGAATTCATTCCGTCTTTAAACCTGAACAAACGTGAGACAGACAAGAAAAAGACAGATTGCAAAGGGAGACATACATTATAACTAAGAGTCACAGAATATTGAAACGTCACAGGAAAAGCGAGCAGCATGCAAAGCAATATGGTTTAGATGTAGAAAAATGTAAGAACACGAATGTACAGCATGTAAGCCATAAGAACAAATCAGCAATTTGGTTCCTTGCATATATTCAAAATAATTAGGTTTTATGTCTGCCAGAGGCAACAAATTATTAAGAGCACATGGCACATTTAAACATGCATGTTGTTTCAGTTGAAAAATGGTAATTTGTACAAGTTGATGCAAGTTGATGATCCTTAAATTATGATGATTGATGCCAAGTGTACAACGGTGAGTCAGATGGAAGAATAAAGAGAGAATATGCATGCAGAATTGAAGACTATAAATACAAAACCAATAAAAAGATCAAACATGCAAGGCATGAATAGAAAAGCTAGTGTTGATTTTGGTTGGATGGGCATACAAGATATTTTTTCTGACTTCAGGGTTATGGGGGAAAAAGCCTGGGTTAATGAGCACAACAGTACAACTAATATTTTTCAAACTGGTAATGTGATAAAGATGAAGTTGAGAACGAAGAAAGAAACCCGGTTTCATTGAGCCTCAAGCATCAACCTAGGGTTCTCTCAAAAAATTCCCTTTTAAAACAACACACAAACAAACAACAAAAATTCAAGAAATCGATGATACTTCAAATATTTGGGTGTGGAAAAATTATAACTCAAATAGTCCTGTGTAAGACACAAAAGCAGCCATTTATAATTCCAGTTTGATAAATTTGAAGGATTGTAAGGCAAAAGATTGTTGTGGCTACTTGAAGTATCATATCAATCATTGAGAGGAATAGAAGTTGTGCCTAGTAGAACTAACACATTTAAGGTAATAATAAACCTACTGTCTATCAATGATTGTAAAAGGAATTAAATATCTGGGTGTCAATCTATGAGGAATGATAAGTTACGATTAATACTAACTATTTGATTTGCAAATATAATAAAGAAGACAGTGAATCATGACACCAAAGACTATTATGAAGTTAGTTTTTATCTTCCAATGTTCCATGATTGCAAGTGTTCCAGCACATCATGTTCATGAATCCAAAACCTATCAACATCTTTGATAAAATGTTCAAGATGTCATGAACTTAAGAGATGTGCTGGCTCACATTACTGATTTAAATTTCTTCTATAAAGCTTGGAGAATAAAAGATCTACAAAAGGGTTGTAAGAATGAAAGAAATAATCTCTAATAAGAATACTACCGCCTCATTGGAAGGACTATGACCACCAAAGCCCTGGAAACAAACACAGGTGTTATTGAGGGACGATGCTGCATGCTGGCAGTGCCCCCATCTAAAGCTCAGCTTTGAAGTGCTGAAATAAGATTTTCCTAGTATTCTTCTCAAAGTCAACACTGGATAAACTAGCATTAAAAGAAATGTTATGATGACACATTTAAGATCTTCAATTGAAATATGGCTCAAATGGAGAAGCCTCCATATACTTATGGCAGGGGTTTTTTGATGTGTCACGCAAATCAGAATGCTAAACATCAACAAAATCAGCCACTGCACACAAACCACACACACACGTACACATATATTTAATTTTTTTATATACAAATATTATATTCATATGAAATGCACAAAGAAAGCTGACACTGACTACAGACCGACTTATATTTAAAATCCCATTCACTTTATCATGTATCAAGGGACCTCACCAATAAGTCATGCACCCATGGCTATATCTATCACACTGCAAATAAGACAACTGGTCTCAGCCATGCCCTACAAAAGTACACAAACACGTCACAGCATTGGAGCTATTTATCATAACCATTTACATTTACGGGCCTAGGACAGATCTACTATTAACCAACACGAAGCTTCGAAACATTCGTGGAGGTAGGGGGTACTTTCTCATCAAATGCTACAGCCAGGTAATCCAATTGGTAAGGGATAAAATAATTGAATTTTAATTTGATGGAAAACATTGAAATATTTGTTTGAATGAAAGATGTGGCTTTGTACAAAAGACTGCAAAGAATATTTTCAGCACAATTGATTTTAATTGGGATAAACTTAAATGCAAAAAGGCACATGAATTTAAAGGAAGGCAACTATTGGGGTTAACACATACATGCACATCAAGATAGATTCAGACAACAGAGAAAGACATAGGCAGGAAAGATAGCAAGTCTCACAGACTTAGATCTTAATCCTCTGAATGAAAAGTGCCCAAACAATTCAAAACTTTCATTAAGATTATAGTGACGCGTAAAACAGTAATTATACTTTTATAACTCAAATCTTTGAGCAAAACTATGAAGAAAGACAAAGGAATGTCCATCAAAAGGTGTCATCCAAGCTAAACCTGATATCCTTGTTCATTTTCATTTTTCACTGGGGCCCTAACGAAACTTGGAAACACATGACTTTCAAGGTGAATTTTATTATAGCGGCACAATGAAAACTGTACCACTGCTGCTCTCATCAGAAAAGGAAACCAAATTATAAACCATGGATCCATAACACCAAACCAACAGCTTTCTCGCCCTCATTTTTGTATCAATTTCCACAATATTTGTGAACAAAATATGTGGTTACTGAACTTTGAAAAAGATGCACTTGCTTTCTAGAACACTAACCTGTTGTCCAGTGCCCGCAGTTGCTTTCATGGCTCGCCAATTTTCAATGATGAGCAAAGAGACATACACCTTGCCAACTGTCATTTTGTTTCTGCCAAGCTCTGAAAATATTTTTAAATCAGACAAGGAAAATGGTCACCAAACAAATCCATTTGAGTAACTGTTGCAAAATGTGTGAGATCCAGCAATCTCTAGTTACATTACCATCTTTCCTAGGAATAAGAAGATCCAACATTTTCTTGGCCTGCAGGGGCCAAATTTTCTGAATTGTCTCCCGCAATTCTTCATCAGCCTGCTCCATTTCATCAGCTGCAAACGCAAAAGTAATTAGATGCGGAATTTGATTATCAGGTCAATACATCTATATGATGTTATTTGAGTAAGCATATGCAAGTATCAATCTTACCAGCACGAACTTTAATATTCAAATTTTCTCTAATTAAAGCGAAGAGGGTTGTAGTGAATTGTACTCGGCCTTCAGCATCCATAGGCATATTCATACGAATTAGTTTCTTGTAAGCTAATCTGTTCGGACACTTGTTGCCAAATCCTAATGGTGGATCCATGTTCTTAAGCATATCATACATTTCTGAATACAAAATCTTGCCTCTGGAGAAGAAGGAAATGGAAGTCAGTAATTTTTAAGAAAGTGAGAACATTACTCATTTTTATCATTAATTAGCATAGCATAGCTTTTATGATCTACATACGTGGCATTAGGATCATATTCGGCCCATATTCGTACAAACTCGTCAAGATGATGAGCACCCAGGATAGATGAATCACGAGTTAAATAATCAAAATTATCCATAATAACGGCAACAAACAAATTTAACATCTAGAATAAAATTGGTCATAACGTGTTATTCAATACAGCACAGAGATTTTGAAGAAAAGACACCACTCATTAACTTAATGAACTTACAAGAAATGAACAGAAGAAGATGAAGGAAACAAAATATGCATATGCAAGATTTGAGCCGCAAGTTTCACCAGTTTTCTTTGCCTTTGGATCGCAAATTTTTCCTTTGATGCAAGACAGCATTATGCTCGGCCATGATTCACCAGTTGCACACCTGCATACAGAAATAGAGTGAGCATGTGGTTCTGCATATCTGAAGCAAAAATAAGCTACATAATAAATATGAAGGTGACTGTTGAGGGATGGATAGGACATGAGGTTGGGGTCCATCATGAAATCAGCACAATTAAAGCGGTCTAGACACGGACATAAATGAGCAAAAGCCATCAAACAGGAAACAAATAGGCAAAAGATGCAATTTGACCGACTAAATAATGTGGGCAGTGGCCTTTTAATCACAAGAGGTAATTAGTTGGTACAGTGGCTTTCAGTAGCTTTCTAAAGTCTCATTTTATCAACAAAATATTATCTTGAAGGTGCTTATTGAGCTGATTGAGAATCAAGAGTCATGAAGCTATAAGAATAAAATTAAAGGACGTGAAAAGCACTTTTGATGCCGTTTTTATAGGGTGATTGTTAGAATGACCCAATCTTTTTTTAAAATTAATTAATAGAGGAGACACACTTTGAAAGCCATGGGCTCCACATGAAATAGATGCAGTAACATCGATTTTGCAAAAGTGCCCGTATATTCGGAAAATCAGTCACTTTCATGTATATGATAATTGTTATTCTTGATTAAATTTTTTAAGGTTCTTATTTAGCAGTAAGTAACATATACATTCAGAAGCTGCATGCAAATAATATGAATACAAATGCTCAAGAAACCGGATGCTTCTGAAAGGCTTCTGCGATGTTGTTTTTTCATGCAGGCAGCTCAATAACATAGTTATCAGATGACGTTCATGAAGAAAAAAAACAATGGGGGATAATGTATTTTCCAGTATAAATAATACCGTCTTTGGACAGATAAATAACCATTGAACTACGGTAAGTGTTGCAAAGTTCAGTGCTTGTTGTGCAATATGTTTTGTGATAGTGTTACTTACCACTTGCAGTTAATATGGTTATGTGATAAATAAATGTTTAAGCATAAGGTACAAGCATATGCAAACCCATTCACACATACAAAGTGAAGGATTATTCTTTTTATGGGCGGGAGTGGATGGTTAATAAGTGAGTGAGGAGCAAAGTTTAACTTGGAGGAAGAGTCATATCTCACTTCAAAGAGTGACAGTGGCAAATGAAGAAAGGGGAAGATGATTTTGAGTGTTCCTAGCCAGACATATATTAATGTCTCAAAGATATATAGAAGAGGGTGATGAAGAAATTCTATATGTTTCCTTAATTGTTTCTTGAATTAAAAATTTAGCATTCATGCCAAATTTGATAATGCATGTCTCAACCTTGTATGCTGCATGGGTTAACAGGAAAGTGCAAGATTACTTGCCTGAAGAGTAGCATTAGGCCCTGAACAAAGTTGCGGAAGTTGTTGTGTCTTGTAATAGACGATCCAGGATCAAGTGCAATGTTACCAAACACCTGCGATGGATGGACGCCAAACGGTTGCATGTGGAGAAAAGGGTGGCATTAACAAACAGGCAATGCAGCAGCATCTACACACTCATCCTACATACATGTACTTCTACCGGCTGACACTGACACGGAGCTGCTCTAAGCTACCACAGTTCAGGTGATGGCGCAGTTCTAGAGCCACAATAATATTTACTACCCCATATGTAGCCCTAACTTTTCAAGTAAATTCCTCCAAACCGTCTAAACTACATATAAATTTTTGAAGCCATCATATTTGATGAAATAATATCAGTGGCCCCTTCACTGCGCCTCCCTCCTTCAAAATATCTATGTGGTATGATGAGGTAAAATGGGTCCGAGATGCAGGGGTTGAACTAGATTTCCTGCTAAGCGTAGCACACACACAACAACAAAACAACACCAACAACAATTATACATTAGTGTTAGTTGCCTACCATAGAGGAAACCGCCACTTATTTGTTCAAGATACTAACTATTCAACACCTGAGGATACTATTTATTTTACACACTGTGAATATTTTGATCAGTAGGCGGTTGCCTTGGGCTTGAGCATTCTGTACAGTAAGTAGACATCCAACTCAGACCAAGCACTATTCTGCTACTAGACACAGGACAGGGCACCACACACTACCACAATGCGAATGGCATCTCCAATAGTGCACTACAGCTGTAAGTGATGCCATTTGCTCCCCTCAGAAGTCAAGAGACCGCTGTTCCAAATAAACCAAACGCCCAGAGTCTTATTTTGCACAGAAATTTGACACAAAAGAAACCATTGTACTACTGTACAAAGGTCCAAATTACTATCCTTGAGGGAAAACACTCTGAAGCAATGGTTATCGGATTAAGCGGCCTGAAGACTCCAGCAATGGCGGCGGTGGTGAGAGGCGGGCAAAAGGACCAAGAGTCAGGATGGAAGGAGTCATGCGCACTCTAGCTACCAAGTCGCAAGTTTGAAGGAAATGGATTTCAAGGATGGGTTTAGGAAAATAAAGATCAGCCAAACCAGTTGAAAGTTTACGGTGAGAATATTCAATTTTGAATCATATTGGCTCCGAGAGTTCTTTGGGAAGGAGAAGGAATGGTCCCAGTTTACCCACCGCACACCTCACTCACCGGAAAAGAAGTAAAAGAGCACCGAAGAATGTCTGAAAGTTGTTATGACGATTGAAGGCCGTGTTGGGGTCAAACTTCATGTTCCCAAACACCTTGAATAGGGCAGGCGTAAAAAACAATTCTTGATGAAGACGTTGCCCAAATGCTCACTATAGTAAATAATTTCAAAAGTCTAATGGACCCCAAAATCAACGATCATGTAGTAAATATATATAAATATATAAATATAATTTCTCCTAGAGTTACTTGAATTATGTAACTATTCATGAAGGGCAGGAAGAATATACAACTGAAAACAGCTTTTGTGCCAGCAGTCACAGGTAACTAACTACCTAGTCTAGACTAAGGAACTCCTAAAACATGTCTCCCGACTCTCATCTATTATTTTTTTCTTTTTAAGTCAAATAGAGCACGTCTCACAAAATTAAACCATTCAGATAATCAAATATTCAAGTACATAATTATGTATATATAACACTAAGAGTTATAATTGGTGTATCTATCTCAACTCGGTAAAATAATTTCTGACTGAACAATTGTGGTGGCTGAAAACTTACTGTCTACCTAAATTCATGCTTGAATACAGTTTAAGTGGAGTTTTCCCCTTTGAAAAAGCACAAATGGAAACCATTTTGGGGGTGTATATGATAATGAAATTCTGTTCATGATTGCCCCTAAAATAAACACTTGAAGGATGAAAAAACCATTTAAATTAAAAAAATATTATGAAGCAAGGATTCCAATGTAACTATTAAAAAAGGGTAAACCCCCTTAATTTTATCTTGTCTGTAAAGGGCGAGTATAACTGCTAGTGCTACATTAAAAACATGAAGAGTTCCCTGAACTGTGCTCTTAACTGTGCTCCATGATGTCCAAATACACAATATACTATGAAAGTAAATAGACAAGAACAGCATTCTGCACTGCTGTCACAATACTTGATGAACACTGTGAAATATAAAATATAACTAAAGTTTATTTGCCTTTCCTATCCTAAAAATTCTCTATTTTGTTTCATCGAGAAGGTCCAGGACTTAAGTCTTGAGCAAACCAAAACAACAATGAAAACAACAACAGAAAAAACTTAAATATCCAATAGACCATTTTGATTTCAAGATTGAAACAGGAAAGAGAGGACAGGCAAATAACACAAATGAAACCAACAAGATTGTTGGATGCACTATCAGAAGTAAACAGTCACTGATCAGTAATCAAGAAGCAATTTAAATTTGTTAAAAAGTAGAAAAAATTGACCGATTGCAAATTGAATGACAATTATGAAAGTTCTTTTAGGAGCATAGTTGTGTGTGAGTTTCAACAGCAAAAGTAAATTCAATTTCATCACCAAGGTAGGAATAACACAACGGATCAGCAAGATGAGGATAAGGATACAGTAAAATACTGTTTACTTCTCATGTACACATGTTCATTTTCCCCAATTGGTAGAGACTTGCATTAGTGGAGTGGTAACTAAATGTCAAACATACCTGCATTCCGATGATGGCGTAGATGAAGAACAGCATTGCTATCAGCAAGCAGACGTATGGCAAGGCCTAAAAAAATATGGTTCATTAAAAAATAAGGCCTTACATAGTGTTTGAAGATATAAAACTGAAACTTTACACACATGTAATACGTTGACACAAATTTAAGATTTTTTTAAACCAAATATTTACCTTAAATGATTGGACAAATGTCCAAAGCAGGATACGGATAGTGTAACCTTGACGGAGAAGTTTAATGAGACGGGCGGCTCGAAAAAGTCGCAGAAATCCAACATTGATTGAGTTAGTCTGAGAACAAAGGACAAGTAGGTTAGTTGAAATCACAATATGCAGAGTTTCCTACTACACACTAACACAGGAAATGCCTGGAAAAAGTTTCTTTTCTCTACTCTGGGGATCAACAGTACTAATATGAAAGGAAAACATTAACTCCTACTCCGCTGCAATTATTTTTCTTCTAGGGACTAGAGGTACTCAATCAGCATGAGCTAAATACCATTCTTGCACAGATATTGAGTGATTTCTATTTCTCAGCATTGCAAAAATGACACCAACTGGGATGTATTTTCACATACAGCCACACATTCAATTTTTTCCCTACTTTTTTTTAGGGGGGGGAGGGGGAGGGAACCACAATTCATTTTGAAATAGATTTGAAATATACAGGACTCCAAAATTCGGTTTGGCTAGGGGCTATTGAAATAGGCAGGTACCAGCACACATATTTGGACAACACTTACTGGCAAGAAACACAGAGTACACACATGATGGAAAGTCTGATACGTGTTGCATTGAACTATTCCACAGGCTAAACCACTAAGATGTGACACTACAATTCTACATTCAATTTTGTGAAGATGATGGTATTTATGTACAGCTGTGGGATACCATAAAGCAAGCATTTCTTTAATCTTACATAGTGCACGTACAGATAATCACAAACATGAAAAAGAGACAGACTTCAAGAAGAGATATGTTGATGAATAGCTAAACATAGAAGCTATTGGAAAGATTCTAGTTTCAAGACAAAAATGATTTATTAGCATAACTGGTAAAAATGGAACAAGATACGTAAGAGAGACCATAGTATATATGTAATTTTGAGCCTGTCTACTTGTGGAAAAAATTGTTAATTACAAAATAAATACATAACCACAACCACAGTAAACCAGAGTAAAACTAGTAAAAAAAATGAGAAGAAAGTTGGGCCGACGGCTGTCAGCTAACTGCCTAAAATATATCATGAAAAAGGGCTAATCCTCTAACTTGAAAGGAAAGAAAACCTACTGTAACTGTACTATGTGTAATAAAAGAAACACTATCTTTGTAGAAAAGAGCAATTAGCAATTTAATGGGGTACAGAGTACAGGTTGCTACATAGTGAGCTGTGTTAAAATGGACTTGAGGTGGTTAGTGGAGATGTATAAATTGTTGACAAAGCAATGTCATTGCGGAGTGAGCTGAGCATGCCGAGACAAGCTATTTTGGAACCTTCCAACGTCTTTAAGTATATATATATTCACGCGAGCTCAGTTCCTGTAGTAAATATACTTTTGGATAGAGTAAAAAGTAAAGGGAACAGAGAAGGGAAAAAAGAACACATGGGAGCACAAAACCTAGCAAAAGACAGGCTAGTCACAATTAAAAACCAACTTTTCCAATGCTACTCTAAAACGTTGAATAAATCAGAAGCTCCACTTAAAAAGTCAAAGACACCAAATAATGTGGTTAATGCATGAGTGTCACGGTGAAAAAAAGTTTTGAATGCAGTATTGTGCAATGTGTTGTGTGTCGTGAGCTCACTACTGCTATGCGGCGGGGTCCTCACTTTCGCCACGCACACAACCAACAAATTACTGGCTCATACAACCACAAGTCTGTTTGGAATATTTTGAATTTCAATGAAGCTGCATAATAGCAAAATCCCACTTCTTAAGCCAGTAAAAATCGACCACCTATGGTCATAGAGTGATTGTAACCCAGCAATTGTCGCAGTTACTGTAGGCTCTGGCGAGGCCGCTGACTCCTGCACTCTCAACTACAAATACAGAAATTAGAAGGCTCTAGCTAACCACGAGTTCATACAATTTAAGGTCTCTGTTTGACCCATCTCCAGTAACTTGATCTTAAAATTTAAATTCACTCTCATGAGACCAAATATTTAAAAAGATAGATAAAAATGTAGTAGTCATCTACTCATTGCATGTCAATGCAAAATAAAATGTGAAATATAAAAATAAGTTGCTGTATCTTACAGAAAACCACACATTTGACCAATTACTGCTGATGGAACTGTCATGAAAAGTGAAATAAGACACTCTTTGTACTAAGATGAATCAAAAGGAGACACTGCAAAATTTACAGGGCTCTGTAATTCTTAAAGAAACCGATACAAAAACAAACCGAAGTGATATTTGCCTTATCTTGGAGCTCCTGGAAGAAAACAAAAACAAATTGTTTCATCAATACCTATTGGAAAAAAATCTAGTGTAAGGGACGGGGAGAGTGAGCAAATAACTTCGCTGTTGTGAGTGTTAAAATACAGTTGATGTTCACTTCAGATTTCATTTAAGAAAACCGCCAAACAAACTGTTGAATGTCTTAGTACCACGATGCTTCACTTTTACAGCCAAAATGCAAGGCTACCAAATAATAATAAATTAATAGTACTGATGTCATGGAAACTTTGAGCCATATTTACCCGAACACTACAACCAAGGAATAAGTGTTGGAATGAAGACAATGTGCTATGTCTTCATAAGGTGTCCGCTATCTGTGTATTTGCATGGTGTGCAACTGTTAACTTGGTGATGTACTGTGTGTCATATTCTACTCTTTATATGTGCATGGTAGACTTTGAAAATACTGGTAAATTTTCAAACATGTCCCTACAGTACAATGATAGGTGAATTAGCTCTGATATGGCCCCCTCAGAAAAGAAAAATTCAACATGTACCTTTTTTCTTGCATAAGAAAGGTAAATTGACATTTAAAAACAGAACATTAGAAATGAAAGAATGATTGAACCTGCATTGTGTGTTTAGCAGTAGCCATACCACATTGAAAATGTTGAAATTTTACCCCTGAAACATATGGCTACCTCTTCTGAGGAAGTAGAACTTACCCCCAGTTCGATGACTAAGGCATCCACAATACTGCCGACCACAGTCACAAAATCGAAGGTGTTCCAAGCATCCTTGAAGTAGTTCTGAAATGTTTTTAGAAAAGATTCAATTAGTTTAAGTGTAGCAAAAAACCTTTTTTTAATTTCCAGCTGAGAACAACAGACTGCATTTTTAAAAGGTTACCATTTTTTAAAAAAGTAGGAAATTTACAACACTAATGACATAAGCAGAAAAGAATGTATGATAGCTGCCTGAGGTAAATAGAATGCTGGTTCAATTTTTATAAACATTACAAAAATGTAAAACATAATGAACAAGTTCTACAATTTTATGAAAGCTTTATAAATTTAAAAAAACAAAAAAAAAAAACCGAACGAAACAAAAAATGTTTTACATCCCCAATTCCCAGCCCATTTACTCTTGTAGGGTTTGTTTTTTCCAATTTACATTTGGTTTACCATTGTACTTACCAGGACGTTGATGCAATAATACAGAATTTTCTAATTGTTACCAAGTAAGATATATTTGTATATGTTTTTGAGGGAGAACAAACAACAACATGCAGATGAGTTTTAACAAGAGTACCTCATCCATCAGTGAGAATTTATCAATTTGAAACTGAGCAATGCTGGTGCTGAATGCAGTGGTATTGGTGTACGTACCAGTACAAAACGGCAAACGAAAAAAACAACTACTCAAACGTCCCTAACTTTGTGTCACAGTTCTCATAAATTTTTTGACTTAAACGGGAGACCAAAACTCCCAGAAAATTATTCTAAAGGCAAAGGATAGCTTCCTTCAGGAGGAGAAGAACCAATGTTTAAAATTAAATTAAGATAAGCAAAAGTGTTTTAGATTACCTTACATCCAAAAGCGATAAGTTTTAGAATACACTCAAGAAGAAACAAAAATGTGAAGATGGAGTTCATAAGAGTGAGAATGTCGAGGAGCAGGGCTGGCGCTTCGTGGAACTATTCAGGGTGACGAGCCAGGAGAAGAATCACGCGTGGAACAAAAACAATAACCGATCAATTTACATAAAAACCACACTGGATATACTAAAACTAGTTTTTTCAACTGAATATACACCCATAAGACATAACTTGAATCAAGTTGGTAAACAAAAATGGAAATGACGTTAATTTCACTGTTCCCCAAATCACATAATTTAAATACATAAAAAGATAAGATGTCCGAGATGCCAAGGTGTCCTTCAATATCTAAAGGAAGACAAACTACAACTGCTGTCTAGTGATATCTAGCACCGTGCGAAAAATCAAGCTGGAGATTTTATTAGATTTTAAATTTTTTCACTAACTTTCTAACTAAACTGGGCCAATTACACAGTCTTCTTCTTATTTTTTTAAGCATTCGTCTGGAACTAACCATGAATGAGCTCATTTACTGTCAACAAGAAGGTCTTTCACTTCAACAAATGATAATCTCCAGCTGATTGCTGGTTGCATTAGTGCAAAACTGAAGCTTTAAATGTTCTCAAATATAAGTGCATCAAAAGTAACTGGAAGAGGAATATGCTTCAAGAGATATGATCTAGAAACATTTCAAAATTATATCTATAAGTCTAAACCTCAAAAAGAAAAAAAAAAAGAATTTAAGAGAAACTATGGGGTATGACGTTTGTAATTAAAAGACTAATTAAAATTGCACATTCATGAGAAAATCAAAATTAACTTGGTAATGACAGGCATGAGACTTGTTCGATATGTCTACAAAGAATTGTGCAGTATATCCAATACAAATGAACTCATAATGTCATGCCATGAAAAGGTACAGTCTACTACAATAAAAAACAAGGAACAACACTTCCTAAACCAGAACTTATCAGCTGTTAGCTACATTGACCTACTTTTTAAAAGTATAGAGTTATATTTTTGGCACTACGTGCTTTAAAAACACCCTAAAATGAATGCTTGTCTTTACCTAAATGGTGTGCAACGTGCATGATTGTCTATGTGTGTCTTGGGTGTTCATCCGCACCATGCACGGTACATCGACCCTTACAAAACATTCGTCAATCCGTTAGACTCAGTCTCCATGCAGGTCTTCTTTTCTACATAAAATGCAGTAACATACTGGTCTAGAGAGAAATTGAATCAGGCAACAAGGAGGAATTCACAGCATTATCATTGGGTCACAGTAAGGAATACTAAATACAAATGTCCGCCACAGGGTAAATATTATTCATGGCTCATTGGCACGTGACATGCAAAACATTCCCAAGATGCACATCACAGGCAAGAAGACAAAACACATTCACATGCTAAGCAACACCATGTCCAAAGGCACATCACAGAAGTCAGTCCACATGCAAAAGCCTACAGCATTCCTGTCATGCAACACATACAGGTCATATCACAAGTCACATGTCCAATCCAATCTCCAGCATGCTCTCATTGAAGAGATGGATTGGACAGAGAAATCAAAATTCCATGCAGGAGATATGCAATTCATGCAACAGTCCTCAGTAAATCACAAAAATGTAATGGCAACATTCAGATGGCAAGTTGCTGTACACAGCTACTAACCACAGCCATGTCAAATCATGGTGGTTGGGTGTTTCATGCTTTATTGACTCAAACTGCATTTACCTTTTTAACAATACAGAAAAATATCAAGCTTTGAGAATGCGATCAAAATCACAACAGTCAATATTTTTCAGCAACTCTAAAGTCAATGTGGAATTTAATAGGATGCATTGCACCATACAAAATCTACATACTGTACATTTTTTTTTTAAATTATCAAAATTAATCTCATTCATCTTATCTCTTATGGCTTCTTAGACCCCAAATGATTCCACAGAAGAATGCAACCTCCCTTGCACTGACTTTCCAATTACCTCACATGGCACTAATAAGTTGCCAGCTTGAGGATGCCTGCATCCTACATCAACTGAGGAAATAAGTGCAGATCACAGTCACAATGCTCTTAAATCTCAAAGAAAGAAAATTATTTCTAGAGCTGGGAGAAAACTGAAATTTGAAATCCTAGACGATGACGAAGAGGTGTAATGTGAATTGAAGCATCTGAAGTATGTGACACTGAGGCACTACATACCTGATAAAAAAATTGAATAATGCTGACACCATGGGAAAATGAGATGCTCTACTTACCTGTTCCATGCTGGGAAGGAGAGAGCAGAAATACAGTCCTTCCTTATACCAATAATCAAGTTTCATACATAACATATCAGATACTGATGTTATGATGCAGTGGAATAAAAATGCACTTACAAACCAAAAAATAAAGCAGAAAAATCAATGAAAGGACTGCACTCTGGAGATATTTACTAGAGGCAAAAATGCAAGTTCCAGACAGGTAGTAGACAGTCAAACTGCCATTATACAGATTGCTATTAGTCTCTCCTTTAAGTTTAAAATAACTGTCATAAGAACTCACATTATTGATTGTCTAAAGTAACCAAAGGCGTATTTAGAGAATAAAAACTCGTTTCAGGTTCAGAGATTACATCTCTTTGCTCTGATAAAAGGCTGACACAATGCAAAGCCTGAATTTCTTATTAGATTGCTTACCCTTACTCCGAATGCTGCGATTTTGAGAATACTCTCAATCGTAAACATGCTGGTGAAGCCAATGTTCATGTAGCGCAGTGTTGTCTTGAACACATCCGTTTGATTGTGAACCTATGTGATGTCACGTCCGCCATACGTTGGTGAGCGACAGAGCAAGAGAGCAAAACAGTACAATAATAGAGTAAATATTACGGCGCACACTCCTTGTTCACACACTTGCACACAAACAAGTACGGCATAGCACTCCAGGAGGCTATTCAAGCTCATTGAAGGTAGAAAGGATTTTTTATCCACCTCACAGAAAGGGGACTTGCAGAAGCCTTGAGGAAGCAGCATGGCATTAAAAGAGTTAAGAAAAATTCTATCAATGTAAGAGAGAAAAAAAATACAAAGTACATTGGAGGTGTGAATTACGGTAATTGAAAACTTCATATTTTTGGTTCCAAGAATATTTTAAGATTCTTGTACATCATTAAATTGAACAAAAAATGGTATGATTGATGACAAGAATATATGGAAACATTAAATGACTGAATGACTCATAACCAGAACATAGAGGCTGAACGCACATTCTGTTCAGGGAGGCGAAGGAACCTTCTTCATGATGAAGAAAAAGGAGGGGGGGGGAGGAGGAGGAGGAGGAGAGGCTGGAGCAGCTCCTGCTCTCACCCGCAGCACATTTTCACAAAACCTCCATTCAAAACAAAATCCAAGCACTCACTCATGCAAGCAAGAGCAGCAGTTAACAGACAAACAATTAAAACAGAAAATACAGCAACAACTGCCACAAAGAAGAGAACAAGACCACAACCGCAACCAGAAACACATGGCAAGTGACAGGAGACCAGTGGGCAGAGAGCCCCTTCATCCTGTCCCTTCTCAACATGCTCATGCTCAACATGCAACATGCTAAGAAACACATTGACAGGAATCTAAATGAATCAAGCACCCACAATGGCTTCAAGATCATAGATGAAAACCACCATGGCACTTTAAATATGTGACACTTGACTTAAGTTACAATTATATTATTATCTCAGAGAGAAAAGAAGTAGTAATTACTGGATCTCTAAGAAAAAATTGCTTCATGCACTCACAAATACAAAATAAATCCTTAAGTTTGTCGTTGGACCTATCGAATCAAATAGTATCATTATTATTATTGTTCAGATTGGTTGAGGAACATTTCAAATGCAAGACTCAATCTAAAGGAATACTCCATGATATGAAGGAAAAGTTCACATGCACGTTGTACCAGCACAATTGAATGCAAAAATGTTCATGCTTCATGACCACATTTTCCAAGTAACTGTTACATAAACAATTTGTTTGTTCAGCAAGAAAACAGTTTTTGACATGCTTTGAAGAATTAGGGAAGATAACACAAGCAAACACAAATTCCAGATGGTGCATTTATGATCAAAAGAAACATAACACTAAACAGATGAAGAAACCAAACATGCTTCTAAACCATTCAAAGAAAACGGAACAAAAGGAAACAAAACAAAGAAATGATCTGGAATAGAAACAGGTGAACAGAGGGACAAATCAAAAGAATTTAAAATAGGCAAGACAGAAAGACAGAGAAGGAGAATGAAAGACAGGAGAGACAGAAAAGACAAAGAAGAAGAATGGAGTACAGGAGAGAGGAGAGACAGGAGAATTGAATACAAGAGACATGGAAAAGACAGAAAAAGAACTAAAAAAAAAGGAGAAACTCAAGAGACAGGGAGAGTTAGATGGAGCTAGGAGATGAAAAGAAAACCCAAACTGTGCTACACTGTGATTTGAAATGGAAAACAGAACTTAAAACATTACAATAAGAAAGTATAAAGAAAGATTAACAGCACCAAGAAGGTGATAAAAGCAGATATTTGGTGCCAAATAGCCATGAATATGACGGTTCGCGCTATGTGCTAGAGCATTACGGGTCAGTACTAGATACAATTATTCATTATATATCTGATACTGCTGGAGAGAGATCTGTGCATAGCAACAGAATTGGGATTAAATATCATGAAAATAATTTTTATTTCAGAACGAGCTAGGGAACTCAAGGTTTGGTATAAAGACATTGTCTACTTTTGTCTGCATTATACGTCACACTAAAAGAATAAACAAGTGAAGAAACTCCCTACAGTAAAAGGAAACGTAAAGGACACCAAGTCTTCTGGACTAAATAATACAAGAGGAATCACTCTGCCTAGCTCCATTCCATCATGAAGTTCACCCATAATTTTCTTCTATCTTAGCACTAGAATAAGAGACACCCTGATAGGGATTATCAACATAGAACTACTACAGTATGTTGAATTGCCCTTCTAGATTTGATCTATTTGCTAAGATGGAGCAAAAGAAGATTGATGACAAACAACAATTCATACACCATATAGCTCTCTATAAGGGAAATCTCTTATGACTTAAAGACTCCTTAATTCTTCATATCAATCAACCCAAAACAATAATAAATATAGTAGACCAACACTCCAAAAGAATTTGAATCCAATAAACCCAACAGGATACATACCTTCATCATCAGGAGTAGGGTATTGCACACAATCAAAATCATGATGAAGTACTCAAATGGAGTTGAGACAACTATCCTCCATATCTTGTACTTGACGCTATTTCTTTCTTTCGGCATGTATCTTTCAAGCGGCCGGGCTTGTATTGTAAAATCAATACAGGATTTCTGAAATAAAAATGAAGTTCTGTGTTAATTAAGCTTACATTGGTTTATTCTGATAGTGTGGTATTTCTTTCCAAAGCAGACATTCCTTTAAGCAAAGTTCATATTACAATACACCTGTCATTTTTATCTTGACATAAATTGTAGTTTAACAAACCTGATTCTTATCAATTTCACCATCTTGTAGTTCTGCTTCTCCTTGCTCTTGAAAGGTAATAATAATCAACGCAACGAAGATATTCACAAAGAAGAAAGGAAAGACGATGAAGTAAACTATGTAGAAAATAGACATTTCAATGCGAAAATTTTGGATAGGTCCATTATTTTCATATGTAGCAGCCATTGAATTTTGCAAAACCCTGAAACATGAAAACATTTATATTGTGAGAGCCTTCTGTTATTTTTTTTAAGACACAAGGAAAAAAAGCCATTAATATGAGCTCACTGTGGCCATCCTTCTCCCGTCTGGACAGCAAATAAGGTGAGCATGGCCGCCATCACATTGTCATAATGAAATGATTGCTTATCCCAAACTCTCTTTTCAGCCCGTGGAAGTTGGTCACTACTTTCATACACAAAGTAGTATCCTCTGAAAGCCCAGGTTAATATTAGTGCAATTGGTAAAGCTTGTTTAAGATGTGCCACGTCTTAATACATGAATACAGATGTTACAATCAGGAAAATGGAAACGTACTTGCACTCAGCGCTGGTAAATTTACTTTCATCGTTACAGAAGAAGAATTTTCCATTGAACAGTTGGACAGCAATGACAGCAAAAATAAATTGAAAGAGTATGTACACAATAAGAATGTTGATCACATTTTTAAGAGAATTTACAACACAGTCAAAGACTGCTTTTAGTTTTGGAACTCTCTTGATAGTTTTAAGAGGTCTAAGAACTCTCAGCACTCTCAAAGATTTGATAGTGGAGAGATTTGAACCAGCAGATGATCCCCTGTAAATAAAAAGAAAAAATTTGGAACAAGACTCAATTTTGACTACTAGCACATACAAACACATTTTCAGAAAATTACAAAAAGATAACATTTTTTCTGGTGAAAAGGTACTTACGTTATATCAAAACCAATGGAGACACCTGCACAGACCACTACAACTGCATCCATAATGTTCCAGAACTCACGCAAGTAAGACCCAGGATGCAAGATAACTCCCAAATCAAGAATCTGAAATTCAAAAAATAAAAACAAAAAAGATGAAACAAAATTTAAAAGCAGAATATGGGGCAACACAAATTTGGAAACAACGAAATACCTTTAAAATCATTTCAACAGCGAAAACACTGGTGAAAATGTGGTCAAAGTAATTTAAAACATTGTTTCTTGTAGATTCTTCAACAACAGGATCTTCTGCAGCCAGTGTTATACTACTCAAACTGATGACCACCATGATGAAGGCGTCAAAGTATCTAAGATTAACAACCCAGTGAGCAGCTCTCCGAACCCTGGAATATAATTATAGGAGGGTGAAAGGCAAACATTTATACTTTGTCAATAAAAAATGTTTTTGCACAAAATTACTTACGAATTAGTCGGAGAAAGAATAAACATGGATGAGTAAGGCAGCATAGGTTTAGGTCCAACAATTTCTTCTTCCTCTTTTTTCTCTTCTTCATGCCCTTTCTTTCCCTTCTTTCTATGATTATGGGAAGGTGAGGGCGATGTAACATCAACCTTTGACCCATCTGGCCCTTGAAGAGCTTCCATTTCTTTTTCAAGCTCCATTTGTTGTTTCTAGAGGCATGATAAAGGCAATTAACAACATGATCCTGGGGTTAAGCAGTGCTTTATTTAGTGACAACAAGTTTTTCTAGTTATCTTACCTCCTTATCTTCTTCCTCTTGCTCCTCCTCAGCAGCAGTAAGTTCTTGTGCATTTGCCAAGTTGTCGACGGCGATAGCAAGGAAGACGTTGAGGAGTGTGTAGTTACCGAAGAGTACCAACACAATGAAGTACATGGAGTATACCATGCCTCGTTGAGGTCCACCCTGGGACTGGATACCATAATACATCACCTCATTCCAATCCTCTCCAGTAAGAATCTTTGAGAGAGAAAAATACACATTTACAGAAAAAACAATTAAATAAAAGCACGAACAAAAGTATTTATTGCTCTTAAGATGGTTAAAGAAAATCAAATACATACTTGGAAGACAGTAAGAAGTGCAATAGGGAATGTATTGAAATTCGTGGGAGGAGTCCCTTCAGGGAAGTTAAATTGGCCACCAAATAATTGCATGCCTAGCAGTGCAAATATGAGGATGAAAAGGAAGAGAAGAAACAGCAGAGAAATGATGGAGCGCATCGAATTGAGCAGTGATATGACCAGATTACGTAGTGACGACCAATACCTGTGGGGAAAAAAATTAAAAATTAAAATGAAAGGCATTCCAACTATTGAAAACATACAGAGACATACAGAGAGCGATTTTAACAGGCCAGACAAGAAAAAGGTAAAACATACAATGAAAACTTTAAAAAGTCTCTGCCTGGAAGACAATATATGTTGCTAAAAAGAAAATTCTTGCTAGAGCCAAAAACAAGATTCAAAAACATTTTAGGTCTAGTCTTAAGCTAGAAAAAACTTAAAGTAGTGCAGAAAGAGAGAGTTGTCTCTTGTCTGGAGGAAATTCTGGATGGAAGATGATGTTGACATGGCACGTAACTCTTCTTCTTTGGTCTTCACATTCAAATGTGCTTCACTTCACTTTTACAATAGCACACAATTATAACAGAACAAACTTAAAAGGGAAAATGAGTTGATTTGCAACCATTTGTCTGCTATGAAATATTTGTATGCTTTTTATCTCACTTCACTTGTTATGGAATCACATAACACTCAAACATGACTGCTCACTTACTTTGTAACTTTAAATATCCTTAGCAGTCTCAGAGCTCTGAGGACTGACAGCCCAAATGATCCCGATTTGAGGCTTTGCCAAATTACTTCAAAGATAGATCCACTGATAACTACACAGTCGAAACGGTTGAAGGCAGATTCAAAATATATTCGTGGCCCCAACGCGTACATTTTGATGAACATTTCCATCATAAATAGTCCTAAGAAACCCCACTCAGCATACTCTGTAACAGAAACACACACGTTAGAAGAAGCAAAAAAATGTACATAACTCAGTGCAATAAAATGACATGAAAATAATCACTTACGGAGAAAATCAGTAAGCCATGCGGGCTGGTTGTAATGTTCAACAGCTACACACACTGTGTTGAAGAAAACCAACACAATGACAAACCAGTAGAAGCCCTGAGTTTTCACAGTGTGTCGGATCCAAAACCTAGAATGAATTACACGAGTCAGCAACTGTTTTATGAGCTTCTGTGAGGTAAGGGTACTTGATAAAAAACCAAAACCATGATAATGCCTACCGGAACCTCTTTTCTGCTCTCCAAAAATCCACACAGGCTCCTTTACTTTTTACTTTAGTTTTAAGGTATGAGGTTCTTGAGTAACCTGAAAATAAATGTGGCAAATTAATAGGGGTGCAGTGGATGATTAGGAGTCTACATAATTTCATGATTATACAAAACATCTGTCATACATTTTCAAATTGAGAGAAAAGAAACATAAGGAATTGAATGAATGAAAAGACAGACATGAGTACAAGAAACGAAGAAAAATAAACAAAATGATTCGGACTCATCAAATTTGTTGGAGCAAAATTAATAAAATGGCAGGGTTTTCTTTTGAAATGTCATGTCTACACAACATAGATTCAATTAGATTTTGTTTCAATATCTACTTGATAAATATACTTCCAGTGTTCAATTTACAATTGAAATTATGTTTAGCACTGGGGTCTCTACACATTAAGGCACAGATTTAAGACAAAATGCTAATTTGTAAGGACTAAATCACACCCACTCAACAATGCTGAGCACATTCTACATTTACATGCTACTTTGGGATCTGAGCTATGAAATACGATAAATGAACTAGAAATTTTTCCTCACTATTTGATTTTACAGGTTGAGGAATATTGATTGGAATTGAGAATAGTATGTGAGTTTCCTCCAGGCAAGAGTGTGGAGTATTCATGAGAATCTATTTGCAAATTATTGGTAACTGAAGTATTGAAAACAAAAGCTGACTTTACCATTATTATTTTGCCCAGATGAAACTAGAGATGGACAAAGAGACAGCTTGATTGAATACTAGACACACACTGAGAGCTATTCTACAATGTTAGAGATCTAAACATTATCATCTACTGGTAACATCTAACATAGGAGCCCGTAGAGTTTGTTGCATAATTTTAATACATGTAATTTAAATGAAAAAGACGAATTGTCTCTTCCAAAATAAATGTGGATCTGGACACTGTCCAATAGACAGTTTTTCAAGGGCTCAGATTTAAAGGCATATTTGTACAGCAGCCTAACACAAATATACATAATCCTACACATGGGTACTTTTTACACCCTCTTTTCATACCTTTCAGAGCCTTTTTATCCACTGAAACAAGAAAAAAAAAGTTTTAACTTGATATTACAAGGGTGCAACTATAGATTTGAATTTATCTCTAATGTTGTAACTTGATTGAACATCAATAGACTGACACAGTAAAGGGAAGATAGCATTTGTGGTTCTTTTTCTAATTTGTAAAACAAATCACAATGCAAAGTCCTGCCAGCCTTGAAAAAAACAGGCAAGATTTAAATAATGTACCAAAATGTTAAAAAACAAAACAAAAAAAGGAAACAGAATCAACACCACACCTAAATTGATCAAAAATAAGTCAACAGGAAGAAGATGCAGTGTCTTTCAATAAGGTGAACTGTTAGTGCCAAGTTTTCTTCTGTTGATAATAACCAAAAGTACAAACTATCAGATTCAGTGCCAATATGAGAGGTAGACGAAGGTATCTATTCTATATTCTAGAAGAGACATCCTGAAGAATGGATCCTAAGATGAAGAGCACGCTCAGCTGTCTACGGACAGACAGACAAGGAAAGAAAAGGGACAGACCTGAGATATCATCGTCAGCGCACTCACCCTCCCCATCATCCTCTTCTTCCTCAGCTTCTTCCTCAGTATCTGTGCTTTTACTTTTCCCTAAATTTTTCAGTTTCTTTCGTTTAGCTGCAGCTCGTCTCCTAGCTACAAATGAGAGCAAGAAAATGGATACATTAACAAATGCATAAGTGGAAAAAAAAATTTTCTTCAATGATTGAGGAACCACGAGGAGGGACTACAAATTACCTTCAATGATGTGCATTCTTTCCTCCTCTGTTGTTCTTTCTTCTGCAAGAATTACTTCCTCTGCAAAACACAAAATTTTATATTAATACCATTCCATATTTGTGAGAATTAGTAGTCAATAACAACAGTCAGAACGCCCTTAGTATTTTTATCAATTTCAGTTAAGTCAGGAAATAGCAGTTTATGATGAGCAAAAAATACATTTCTTTTAGAAAGTTTTATAACAAAATGTTTTTAAATGTCATGTCTTTCCCCAAAATGATAGGCTTTGACATGTAGTATTGCATAAAGAGAAGACAGTGCTTCAAATAAATTCATTGAGTAAAAAAGAAGAAAAAAAGGGTAAAATTTTTAGATGGGGAGATACTCTAAAGGACTGCAACAAAACTACAGAATAAAAAATGAGTTGGAATGTTCCTGCTCCACTTGACACTACTTTCAAACATATAAGCAAGCAATCATGGAACTATCATTTTAACCAATACTTACAACAGTAAATAAAATCTTTAGATTTAAATAGAGAACAGGTAGATATCGACACAAATTGCGTTTCTTCTTTGACCCAAAGGCACACCAGTTGTACTTACCCGCTTTGCAGATCCAGTCTACGTAGCCGTTCAGTTCTTTTTCTAGCTGGGCATGCCTTCGTAATTTCAGGAAAGTTTGTCGATTCTCCACCTTCTCCCTCTCCTTAGCAAATTCACTGGGAAGGAAGCAAGCGAAAGCTATAAGCAGGACAGTTTACAGGACAGAAATCTTATGCATGTGAGCACAAGGCACCACCATAAAGGGAGTTGGAACCAGCAGGAACTAAGAGTGAATAAGGGGTATTAATAACTTGAACGCTAGTAGTAACAACAATGGTTCAAACGGGCTGGCTATTCACACGAGAGTTCCTAAAATCTTACAATGCTACATTTGGTCCATATGTCACAGATCACCTTTCACCTAAGAGCCTTCAGATCTGCATGAACCCTTTTAAGAAGTGAGGGATCAGCCAGCCTGTGGCCTTCTTGGAAAGGGATCTCCACCTACAGTGAAGGGCCAACATAAGAAAACACCACAGAGGCAGAGGCCTCCCAAATATGACTAGGCCCTAGGGAAAGCTGTCTAGGAAGCCAGATACAGTGACACGCTGGGTTCATCAGGTGCTGATCTTCAGAGTGCAATCAGTATACCTGCTGTCAACATTTTCTGATCAACTCAAGAGATACATCAACAGTTTTAAAAACTGGCAAAGTTTTCCTTTTCTATTCCATCTGATCAAAATCTTGGTTGAATTAAGCTCAAACAGGGATGAATGAAAAACGGGTCTCATTCTGCTCTATATATTATAAATAGGAGGAATACTTGGGCAACATTATGGGTAGAATCTACTGTAGCAGCAGCAACAACAAACAACAAATAACAATGAATGGAGGAAAGTAAGCCTACAGAGTTGAGAGAATGAAAACAACAGGCTGAGCACTGCCTCAGACGCTAGCCACTGACACCCCAGCTACATTGACTGGCGGGAGGTGCGCGGTGCGGCGGGTCCGCCTCGGTCCGCGGTGCTACCCTGACTCCTGACTACCTGCTTGTTCGATCCACTGCAGGTACGTGCGCAGCGCATCGCTTATGTACTTCTTGGTGCGCGCACTCTGGTACTTCGCACGGCGCTCCACCCGAGCCCGCTCGTTCGAAAACTCGCTGCATGACAGGGCAGCATGGGGGGGTCACTCGTCACTCCAAGAGAAGACACTCGCGAGATCCCTTCATTTCACTTTACTTTCCATGCCAGTTTAAAAATGTCTAGCCGAGATCCGGCAACATTTTCGTTATAACGGTGTACTAAAGGGACTCAACCCCCATGGATAAACATGTGATCAACAAGAAAACTGACATTTAAACAGAAGGCTCATATTGGAGACAAAGCAGTTTTCATTTTTTGAATCTAAGGAACTCCAAGTAATTTTTCACATCATACCAAAGAAAATCATCAGTTAGAAACAAAAAAAACAGCAGATAAAACTTCCACAGTTTTCAAAAAGAGCTAAAGCTCTCAACAATTCTTCAAAATTTTTTTAAAGACCTAGAACACTTACCCACTAAGAACACCAAGAACTAAGTTGAGCATGAAGAAAGACCCCAGAACGATGAGGGGAACAAAGTAAATCCAATTGAAAGTGCTGCCTAGTGCATCATTTGTCTGTGAAAAGTTAAAAAAAAAAGAAAATAATGGAATTAAAATAAATATTTTAATGGTTCATAAAAAAAAATCTAGTGCAATTTATCTTATTTCCCTGATACTTGCCCAATACAAAATAGTAGTCCAGCCTTCCATAGTGATGCATTGGAACACAGTGAGCATAGCAAATCCTATATTGTCGAATGATGTGATGCCATAATTAGGCCCCTCCCACTCTTCTAAACAAGTTGACACATTGGGATTGCAAACATAACTACCAGCCGGTGCCTCAGTCTTGTTGTCTGTGTTGCATGGCGTTTCAGCCTCCCCCTCCTTATCTATTTCATCTGCGACAACATAACATTTGTTAAGAGTCAGAAATGCTGAACAAAAAAAATGGCACAATTATGGATCAAATACTTACTTAAGTCTTCTAATTTGTAACATGTTTTGTGCAAGGCTCCAGAATAAAACTCTAGACCAATGATGGCAAAGATGACAATAGCAAATAACACAAGTAATCCAATCTGAAGGAGGGGTGCCATGGCTTTTATAATGGACTTCAACACGACTTGCAGACCTGAAAGATTAAATAAGATAAGTAACATGCCAGCAAGCAAAACACCTTCAAATATCATTTTAAAAAAATAGTATTTTTGTTGTGAAATACAATAAATGGTCAGTCATATAAGGAAAATAAACACAACAGAATATTTTAAAAATTGTAATGAATACTTTGATTCAATTCTGTATCTGCTCTGCATTGTCAACTATGCAAACTGTGAAAAACGTTCTAAGAAAGGATCTCTATTCTAAAATATTGTGAAGCTTATATGAAGGTCCAACCCTTTAAGCTTGTTATACGTTAGAATGCACTTTCTTATTTGGCAGAGATGAAGAAATTTGGGCAACCAAGTACAGAAAATGACATGAACTAAATATTACTGGCATGAGCAATGTTAGCCACAAAGCAGCAACAATTAATCCCCAAAAGTGCATAATCCAATTTTTAAGGCTGTTAGGGTTGGCTTGGACTAAATACTACCAACAATTTACTGTTCCTGAAAAAATTTAGATCAAAAGAAAAACTAGCGTGGCGACCACAACTAGACTAAAGACAACACACAGAAGAGGCAGCTGGCGCTCTAGACTACTCACTAGGGATTCCCGACACTAGTTTGAGGGGCCTGAGCACTCGGATGGCCCTCAATGTCTTGAGGTCTATCCCTGGGTTAGCCGTGCTGGAGAGGATTGTGACGAACCTGTGAAGGGCAAGGCAAGAGTGCCCTGAGGTCAGCATACCTTACCACATGACAGGGTTTTTAAAAATATTTTAAAGGGGGAAGAAGAGTCTTTGTTTTCATTTAAAACAACTTCTTTTCATTACTCAGGGTATTTAGAGGAAACAAATGGCTTTCATCCATTTCTTAATTCAAAACTGATTTACTGATACAGCTACTTTATTGGGATGCATAGTATATCTTCTGCTTTGAGAATTTACTTCTTATTCAAAATCAGATTACAAGAGACCATGAGAACACAGCTCTTGAGGGGGACCACCATGGTGCGCAGGAAAATACTTCACTGGCCCACAACTACACTATCATTTTAGAGAGTCAGCTTTGCTGGTTGAGCATCATGGCTAAAGAGAAAATAAGTTAAACTAGAGTTCATGTCAAAAGTATGAGCTAAGTTTTGTTGCCTAAAACAACTAATAGACATGAAATCAGCTCAACCAGCAAACTACGTATGACTACATCACACATTCTAGCATACTGTGACAAAGGGCTGTAACACTTTGTAGCGAGTGAATATCTGAAAACACAGCAATAATAAAAGGATAATAAAACAGTCCTAACAAAATATGAACTACAAGACACTAGCAAAACCATGATAATGGTGAAACCTTCTACGAGGTGGTCTACAGTTTTCAACCAATATTCTAATCCAATTTCAAAATTAAAAAAAAAAGAAAAAAAGAAAAAAAAAACACTTAAGGTAATTGCAAAATTGTTTTTTTTTTTAGACTGGGCAGACCACCTGGTGAGGTTAACAAATGCTAGACACATCCCCAGAAAAGCTAAGATTTCTCAGAGGAGCATCACTAATTAGTTTTGAGGAACAACACTATGACAAAGGCATCAAAACTCATCACTGACCAAACAGCTAGCGGCTGAAAAGTCACTAGCCTACATCGCCCACCTCTATTGCCTACAGTAACACTTCTGAAAAGAAACACTCATGTTTAAGTAGATCAAAACTGCAATCAGCAAAACACTGGCAACATCATGAGTTCCTATAATTCTAAGAAACACAACGCTGCAGCGCCTACAAAAGGTTAACAATTTGACAATTTGAAATGAGTCCTCAGCAACTAGCGTACTACAGCTAAGAACCCTATGTCTCCAGTCCATTAGGACAAACTGCTTGAGAGTAATTTCCTGGCTTCAGTACTTCTATCGCACAATAGTAAGTCCTGTATAAATATCTAAGACTAAAACACAAATTCTACAACAACAGTTACACTTCAGGGAACATTGTTGAAAGCTACATTTGTTACTATAAGACCATAAAAATTGTAGATGGAATATTTGTGGCTTTGTATGAGGTATTTAGAATAATCCAATAAGGAAAGGACTAATTGTCATTGCAATCATCTTTCAAGTAAAAATCTTGAGTTAATGTTGGAGCTAAAAACTTTGGGTGGGAAATAATGAATAGGGCAGAGAGAAAAACCACTTATGACAAAGGCAAGAAAATTGCAAAAATTGTGCATCTTCCAAACAGTAGCCCTGTTCTACATAAGATAGTAAAAGTATATTGAAAATCTGCCCATAATTACCAATAGAATCCTACATGAAAGAGGAAAAATAGCTCTGCAATGACTATTCAAAAATTTTGCTTTCCACATTGCCCATGAACTTACTTGGAATTCTTGACACCAATTTCAATGGACGTAATACACGGAATGATCGCAGCATCCGAAGATCGACATCCACATTCGATTCCGCGAATATGGTCATCGACCTGAACACAATGTTTTAAATTGGTTTCTGGGAATTCAATGACAGCTTCAAAATGTTGACTGTTTCCTTGACTTGAAGCATGCAATAAAAAAAAGGGATGACTATTTTCAACCATGTCAATATAATTTACTTCGTGGTTAACAAAGATAATGTATGTACATTCTTTTAAGTTCCAAAAGACTCATTTACTTTGTGGTTTACTAAACCTCAGTAGAAATACATAAGAGTGGACAAGGTGCACAAAGTTTCGGTCTGTTTTAGTTTCAAATTGAAACAATTTCTTCTACCAGTAACGTAAAGTTACGAAGGGCTTTACAGTGAACTAGCATGAAGAGTGTCCCATGTTGCCTTCTTTCTTCAAGAGATGCAGAAACATTCTTCATTCTGACCATTTTAACTAAAAGTGGATGTAGTGCTAAATAGATACATACATTTCACACAAAGTTACACCAGTGACACAGATGATTAGTTTACCGTATTTTACGATGAGCTTGACAGGTGCCCGGGACCAAAGATTAAAAAGAGGAGCTAAAACAAATTTACAGCAAAACCTGCAGAACAATCGGACCGCCTAGACTTCATGAACATAACAAGGAAATGTACAAGGTATTTACAGCATTGCACAGGAAAAAAACCCGCGCCCCAGCGACAAGAACCTGATGAAGAACAAACACTCTCACTAAATGCGACAGATTCAGACCCTGATGAATGGTGGAAGGTTGAAAGCAAACTTACAGTAGGAGGTGACAGAGGTCTAGGTTAAGATCGAACGCGGCCGTGCAGCTTGAACCGATTTTCGTTACGTCTGTTCCAGCCACCAGGGCACCGCGTAAATCACGTGGAAACGAGTACAGGCGCATTCCGATGGAAGCCCCGAAGTGCTCGTCAAGTAACGAAGAATTGACATTGTCGAGATTTTCGTAAATCAAGCAAAACAACGAGCCTTTTCAAATCAAATGCCGCAACAACAAAGAAGAACAAATGAGGGCTAGTTAGCAGACGACATGAGACGGACGGTCAAGTACTGGCGGGAAAGGATGAGAAATTCAAACGCTAACGCTGTACATCTCCCTAGTCCCCAACTAACTCCAACCACCATTCAAGACATCACGATCTGAATCGTCGCAAAGCAATGCCAAAAAAAGGAAGGGTACACGATTAATTCCAAATCAGCGAAAAAGCGTCGTAATGTACTCACCCTGTTACTACTACGAAGAAATCCATAATGTTCCAAATGTTACGAAGATAAGAACCACGATGGAGTACAAAACCTAAAGCTAAAATTTTGAGGGATGCTTCGACACAGAAGATACCCAGGAAGTACGGCTCCGTCTTTTCCTGCGGAACACGAAGAAAGGTGTGCATTAGTAGAGTCAGCAGCGTGTCGACTGATTCGGCACATCGCTGTCGTCGCTCTGTCTCTCTCGCACTCATGTGGCAGCTGGGAGACGGCGACGAAGCGCTGCGCGGAATCAGTCTCCCGGTGGCTCATCGAGTTGCCACCAACACAACCACGCTGCGGCCCGGAATCCGGGCGGTGGAGCCTTCCGGGCGTTAAAATAGCGCCGGCCTAGCGCCAGCCGAGCCATCCCGAAGGCTCGCTTCGCCGCGCTGTCTCTCTCGCACCCCCACGCAACGTCCCACGAGTGCGAGAGAGACAGCCCGAGGTAACGATCCCCGGCAGGGCGACAGGGCGGGTCCGCGAATACACACGGCTACGGGATAAAGCCGGCGAGCTAGCGTGCTTGTCGCCTGGCTTGTCATGAGAAAGGGAGGGGGGATGGGGGAAACGACACTGTAAAATCACTTAATGACAAGTCCGTCACTTGCAATGATGACAATACCATCGCAAATTGACGAAACTGTCACCATACCAAACCAAAATTACATGGGCGTCGGTGATAACAAGTCACCGGTTTCATGGCATATTTGTGAGGAAAAAATTGAAGAGACAACCATTTTTTTGCATGACAGGTGAAGGAAAGGGGGCGGGGGAGGCAGTCAGCAGCACGGCAAAACGCGCCAAAACGTGCGAAAGTCCTTACCAGTCTCTGCGCCAAGATGGTCTTGTCGCCTTCTGGTAAGTGCTCCTCCAAGGCGAGCACCACGCAGTTGGCGATAATGGTAAGCAGCACGGCATATTCAAACGGAGTGCAGACAGAGTTAAGGAAAAATTTGGACTTATGGGCACACACACAGATCAATGAAGTACAATGTACACACAATATTGGCCTGGCGCAGTTTAGGCTTCCTCATAGTCAAAAGGAGTTTAAAAAAAAATTGACAGAAGATGACAGAGACGTGTAGAAGGCACGAATCTGAATATACGAGTCCAGTGACTGCAGGAAGCCCACACGGCGCCAAGTTCAATGGCATCTCAACAAAAATAATAAAAAACCACAGATATGTTTTCCCTTTCAGGAAAGTAGTTTTTATGATGCGTGAAAAGGATATGGCCACTCGATGATGAAGCGTGTGTATTTGCGGATGGGGTTCCCCTCGTTGAACAGGAACAGCGAGGAGGGACCGTTGGCGGGGGGGCCGTGGCCCCCGCCGCCGTGAGGGCCCCCCATGAGGCCGCCCCCCGGCGAATCACGTCCTGCACGGTGTTGGGCCGCTGCCTCCTGCGCCGCCGCCAACCTGCAACACACCGCACCGTCTCAGGTCTCTGTCTCTCTCGCACCCCGACGAGCTTACGGGACGCCCGACGAGCGCGACAGAAACAAAGCGAGGGAGCCTGCGGGTCCAGGCCCCGTTCGAAAGCGCCACCCGTGGGACGACTGCACGGTCCGCTGCATGCATTCTAGCAGTGCGTCCTGTGCGTGGAGTTTTCGAGCGAGGCACTGCAAGGCAAGCTAGACACCAGGACGAGGCATGCGGGCATGTCCCCGCCAGCGACACGGCCACTTCAGACGAAGAAGAAAACGTTGTGAGCTGTCCAGCTGCACTGCGTCGATGGCCGCAGGTCGGCGTGTTGGAGGCAGCGGTGGCGATGGCGGAGAGCGTTGGGCAGCTCACCGCATCTCATCCATGTCGGCGTCCTTGGGGCCCGCTTCCCTGCCGTACAGGGCCTCCCTCACGCCCAGCTTGGAGTAGAAGGACCGCTCCCTGGCGCCGACGTCGAGCCTGAGCCGCGGCCGCCGCGTCCCCGGCTGCAGCGGAACCTCTTCCGAGGGGGCGGCGGCCAGCTCCACCACGGCGGTGGTCACCGTGGCGGCGCCGAGGAGCGCGGCGGCGGCGGCATGCTCGTCAGCGCCGTCTCCGGGCGCGGGGGCGGGGGCGGGGGCGGGGCTGGGGGCGGGGACTGGTGGCGCCCCCCACGGCCGCAGGTGGCTGTCGCACCACTCGCCCGCGCGCCGCCACAGCTCTTGCGGCGACACCTGCCAGGGGTCGTCGTCGGCCCCGTCGGCCGTGGCCATGTCGGCCAAACGGAGCAAAGGACAGGGAACCGCAGTCTCGACGTCGTGGACGTCCCGGCGTCCTGGACTCGGCGTCGCACTGCCGGCGGGACAGCAACACAAACACACGCGGTGCGCGGCGCGCTCAGCTCCGTCGGCACTGACAGCACCGACAGGGCAGGCTAGGCTGTGCTAGGCCGGCGGCAGCCCGATTGCGTGGCGGTTATTGGACCCGATTGCGCCCGATTGTGCCTCGGGTCCTCGTGGTCCGCGTTCGGGAACGTCTTCGACGTCATCCACGTCGACTGGCGGCACTGGCGGCGTGGCGGCGAAGGAGGACGGCGGCGGCCTCGTCCACGGCGTCCACAGCCTCCGGGCGGCCGTCGTGCCCACGTGGTGGCGTGCGGCGTCCCGGCGGCGTCCCGGCGGCGTCCCGGCGGCGTCCCGGCACGCACGGGCCGCGCGGCACGGCGCAGAGCGCAGACTGATCAGCCATTCCTTTCCATCCATCCTCCATCTCGCTCTCGCCTCGGCTGGTCTTGGCGCGCGTGGCAGTGTGGCTGCGCTCCAAGCCGCTCGCCGCTCGCCTCGCGGGGGTCGCGGGGGTCGCGGAGGGGGAAAGGGGGAGGGGGGCAGAAGCTGACGCTATCGCTGGCCGACAGGCCGACACATCCACCAGCTGACCAGGCGGTGCCAAGCGGCGACCTTGTGCCTTGCTGGCCCCGCGGGCCCCGCGGCTGTACCCAGCACGGGCCGTGCGGTCTAAGTGGTCGAACTGCTGCATTCGCTTTGCCGAGCGGCTGGTGGGTGTCCGGCTGGGCGTGCTTGATGTCCTGCAGGGCGCGGAGGTCCAGAGCGGTCCGCGGCCCGTCGCTGTGACCGAGGCTCGCCGCTCGCTCGGCCTGACTCGGCCTCCATGCTGGCCCCCTTGCCTCAGCGCCTTCAACGCGCACTCTACTCCACAGGTGCATCAGCATTATCCTTTCATCGCCCAAGTTGGTCCTTTCCGCCGGGCCCGCCGCGCCACGCCGATGGCCGCAGTGCAGCTTCACGGCGTGGAAAGAACGCACCGCCTTCTGTCTCCGGACGGTCCCGGGTTCGAGCCCCGCCCGCTTCCCGGCTTTTATCTTGCAGTGTGGCCCCGTTTTCGCCAAGTGGCACGCACCTTGAAGCGTTAGATCACGGCGCCGCCACGCCACCACGCCCATCCGGCCAGCGGGCCCGGACAGGGACCGCGGCAAAAATAATCTCAAAATTGAGTTATGCACTACCGTAACTGGATGACGTCACGTTAAGCACCCGGCCCTGCGCGGAGCAAAATGAATAAACTTCATTGTCCGGGCTGTGGGCGGGAGGCGGCCGTTAAAAACATACAAAACGTGTTCCGTAAGTCCAGCCATTACGCGGACCAGCCCGGCCGCGTGAATTAATCGTGGGACGCGCCGGGAAGGGCCGGAAGGGCCGGAAGGGCAGCGAGGCAGCCGGAAAACCGGAAACAGGGCTGGAATAAATTTCTCATCCGGGCGAGTCACGCGAGTGGCGGTACGCCACTAGGCGCGGCCAGGCGTCCAGGCAGACAGCCAGGCCGGCAGGCAGGCTGGCGTGGGCCGACTCCAAAGTCACATAACACCTCTCGGGCCACTTGTTTATTCCTGGCTGATCCCGGCACGGCCGCCGTTTGGCAGTGTAGCGTGCCGTGTGCCGTCCAAGGAGATGACCCCGTCCGTCCATACCCCACGCGCAGAGTTTGTCCATGAGGTCAACATTCGGCGTCTCTTGTGCAGGGAGTAGCGGCGGTTCCGATTGCCCTGCCGAGGATGGTCGGACCTTGCTGGACACGGCTACCAATCTGATGCTGTGCCGAAGTTGATACAATGTGCGTGTGTCGTGACGACGAGGTTTAAGGTTTAAGGATGGACGTTCAACAACGGCTTCGAAATAGCTGCTCGAGCATCCGAACTGCTAGTCTCGCTGGGGTCTGGCTGGACTGCAGTTTCGCCATCTTGGGACCTCGCTGGGCCCTCGCTGGAGTCTCGCTGGAGTCTCGCTGGACTGCAGTTTCGGCATCCTGGGGCCTCGCTGGAGTCTCGCTGGACTGCAGTTTCGGCATCCTGGGGCCTCGCTGGAGTCTCGCTGGACTGCAGTTTCGGCATCCTGGGGCCTCGCCGGAGTCTCGCTGGACTGCAGTTTCGGCATCCTGGGGCCTCGCTGGAGTCTCGCTGGACTGCAGTTTCGGCATCCTGGGGCCTCGCTGGAGTGTTGGCAAGCTGCCTGTCTCCGTACCCGCACTGGAGTGGCACTGAAGAACGGCTGGAGTGGGAGCTTCATGGATCTAGATTATACAGGCCACCGGAGTATGTTTTTTTTTTTTAAAGGCAGAATCAACTTGGGCGGGAAACCTTGGGGAAAGTCGACTTTGCGGGAAGAAAACGTGAGATTTGTTACCTTCATGAAACGGGTTGGGTTAGTCCGGTAATCCTTTGACTTACGCCACTGCGAGGACCGTGGCTCGGACTCATCGCGCAGACTCACCTGCAGACAGAAAAACATAAACAGTTAGAATAGTAATTAATGGCGCACATTCTTCATTAAAAGAAGGTTGTTTCCAGATCGAATGTGGAACAGCAAAGAAAATCACCCGTTGCGATTGCAACACTGGAATTATTGTTGTTATTGTGTTCTTTTTGTTCCATCGCTCTGGCAACAACCTTAAAGAAGGCACAAAAAAAGAAAACACACATGACCTAGTGAGGACCAATTGAGGGGTGCGCGATCTCGGTGAAGTATGACAGCTAAGATAACGGTCTGGAAGGGTAAGGGCAGGACGGGGGAAAGGGACAAGGGAAAAGGAGGGGGGGGGGGCTAAGGGGCCGGGTCAAGCATGCCGCGCGGCCTGAGTGCATTAACATGTTAAACGCCCCCACCCCCCAGTGTGGTGGCCGAGAGGGATGAAAATGGCCACTCATTTCCGGTGCGATGCGTGAAGCGTGTTGTCCGGGCACGCAGTGTGGCGCCACAGTGTAGCGCCACAGCACGCCGCGCACACGACCACGACGATACGGATCAAAACGAGTGTGAAATGTAAACGGCCGCCCCGGCGGCGACTCACGGGCGTTCTCCGTTCGCGCGCAAACGGCATGCCAATGGCCTCCGCTCGCGGCCTCGGGGCTCCGAGCGTCGCGGTCGAGGCCCCATGCATCTGGCCCTCCCTAGGCCCCCTCCGGTAACCCTCCGGCAGGCACGGCGGGCACGGCAGGGCTCCGGTGCGTGGCGGCGTGGCGGCGGACAGCGACGCGGAGGCGGTCCTGCTGGCCCTGCCAGCCCTGCCAGCCCTCCAGTCTCGCCGGGGCCGTGAATTAAACATTTATTTGGTGCGGCGCTGCCGCGGGGCTGTATCCGGCCACGGGAGAGAGGGGGGGGGGAAGGTGGAGGCCAAGCCGAAAACAACCCCCGGGGTGTAAGGGGCCGTAAGATCGGGTTTAATCCGAGCTGCCGCTACTCCATCCGACGCACCCTCCCCCTGCCCCCTAACACACTCACACACACGCACACATGCGCGCGTGTGTGCGTGAGGATGGGGTCGTGGCCGTGGGCGCGACTACACAGGGGGAGGGGTTGCAAGCCGCCGAGCGACGTACACTTGCCATCATGCTAGCGCGCCGTGAGCCGCGCAACCGATGCCGGTGCCTCTCCCGCTCGCTGTGCAAAGGTGGGGGGGGGGGGGTCGTATCGGCAAATGGAGTCGCGGCCACACAATGCACGCGGGCGTGGCGGGCAGGGCGTACGCGGCACTGCAGGTAAAGCGCAGTCAAAGCCAAAGCCCCTGCCGTTGTTTTCGGCCTTTCGGCCTGTCGGCCCCGTCGGTCGGTGGAGGGGAGGCTGGTCCGAGGGCTGGTCCGATTGTTCGCGTCCAGCGACAACGGCGACGCAACGGCGGTACACTGGTAGTGCAGTGCAGGACACGCGCCCCGGTTATCAGTGTACGTGCGAAGGCTCTCGGCTATCTGGCGCCGCGCGGAGCAGGCGGTGCAGGCGGTGCACGGCAGTGCGGCAGGCCCATTCCGAAAGAGGATCGTTTCGTCGCCCTGACTCCGTCGCACTCATGGGGCTCTCCGCGGGGGCGAGAGAGTCAGAGAGAGACGGAGCGACGAACGGCACTGCACGACTGTCGCGCTGTCTCGAGCAAGGCTAATGCATCGCGAGTGTGGAGGTCGCCGCCAAACGCCCCCGCCGGCCCTGCGCTAAAAGGGCCGCATGCCAGAGGGCCGGGCCAAAGGGCCGGGCCAAAAGGCGGTCGGGCTGCAACATGATTGATGAAAGCGAGGCCACGGCGCCACGGCCAAGCCATGGAGAGGCACGGAGGGAGGCCAGGCCGGCCGCCCCGGCTGCAGTGGCGCAGTGCGTGCCGCCTTACACTAGGCAACAGGCAGGCAGGGCAGGCAGGCGCATCAAGCGGGCTGCTGTCTGGCGGCCATCGCCTCTCTCTCTCTCTCTCTCTCTCTCCTCTCTCTCTCTATCTATCTCGCTCTATCTCTCTCTCTCTCGCTCTCTCTCCTTTGGCGTGGCGCCGCGTTTTCGCGCCGATTCCCAGATTCGCGCGGAAACTAATACCGACACGGAGTAACTCTTGCCCGTTCGATTCGCCTGCAGTCTCAACAGTGGCGCCGTCCCTCTCGCACCGCAACGGGGCGCCCAGCGTCCGCGGGAGAGAGAGAGAGAGAGAGAGAGAGAGAGAGAGAGAGAGAGAGAGAGAGAGAGAGAGAGAGAGAGAGAGAGAGAGAGAGAGAGAGAGAGAGACTGCTGGCGGCCCGCTGGCGGCGGTGCCAACCAAACAACATGAATCACCCGCCGGCCTGAACGGCCTGAACGGCCGGCTGATCCGTGTTTCTGCCGCACTTCGGTATTTCGCTGGCCTGTCTCTTGATTCACGACTCGGGGCGAAGGCGAAGGCGAGGCCGACCCCGAAATTGTCGGATTGACTCGCGCGTTCCCGCCTCTCGCGCCCCTGCACCCAGATCGACCCCACCCCCACCCCCGCAGACCCAACGAGGAAATTTCCCGGTGAAAAAATCCCGAAAGAAGCAGTAAAAGGACTGATCTTGAATCTCGACAGATTTGTCGAGATCTCGTTTGTCGGTTGCGAGATCTCGAAAGTTGATGAGGGAACCCCGCTGGTTCGTTTGAGCGACGAGTCGCGCATCTCGGCCCTTGATTCGCGGAGCGGCAGCGCGGCAGCCCTTCTGCCCCCTCGGCCGTTCCAGGCCGTTCC